AATTGCAAGAAGTAAAATGTATTTGTTTTATATTGTTATCCTTTAAATATAATATAATAATATCAGTATAAATAGTGTTCAAAATAAATTTAAATTTGAGTAACTGTACAAAATCTCATTCCAAATATCGTGCGGATAACAATGCAATGAGATGTCATTAGTGATTCTTACCCACTTTAATGTCGTTCCATTTGAGCTAAATAAAATGGTGGTTAATATATTTACAAAAAAAAAAAATAGAATACATTAAGAAAGAAGACGTTTTATACTACTACATGAGCAATTGTTTCATATTTTATATAAAAACATTAATGTTGAATAAAAATATATTATGAAAAAATGATAAAATTGAGAATGGAAATGGGGAATATGTCAAAGAGACAACAACCCGACCAAAGAGCACACGACAGCCGAAGGCCACCAATGGGTCTTCAACGCAGCGAGAAAATCCCGCATCCGGAGGTGGTCCTCAGCTGGCCCCTAAATAAAATTGTGTACCAGTTCAGTGAAAATGGACGTCACCCTAAACTCTAAAATATATAAATTAACTAAAATTTAAAAACATACAAGACTAATAAAGGTCAGAGGCTCCTGACTTGGGACAGGTGCAGAAATGCGGCGGGGTTAAATATGTTTTGTGAGATCTCAACCCTCCCCCTATACCTCTAGCCAATGTAGAATAAAGAAACACATAGCAATACGCACAGGAAACTCAGTTTAAAAGAAGTCCGAGAATAGGAAACAAAAGAAATTAAGCAAAATGACAATGATACATAAATGAACATAGGACTACTAGCAGTTACTGACATGCCAGCTAAGGACCTCAATTAAACTGATTGAAAGATTATTACTTCGTCATATTTAAATTAAAATCAAGTACAATCCCTCCCGTTAGGGGTTTAGTATCACACCATCATAAAATATATGAGAAGAACATATAAAAGGGACGAAAGATACCAGAGGGACAGTCAAACTCATAGATAGAAAACAAACTGACAACGTCATGGCTAAAAATAAAATGACAAACAGACAAATAATAGTACAGATGACACAACATAACCCGTATCATGCCAACAACTGGTTTTAGAATAAATGTGTTTATTTCCGATGCAAAGACCCTATGAGTGAATCAATATTAATACCAAAATATGCAATCCTTAATGACTTGACAACAGTATCGTAACTATATCCTTTCAGAATAAGTCTGTTTAAAGGTTTGGTTAGCTTTTGAGGTGAATGCCGACATTTTTGTGCTTTGTAAAGAAAATTACCATAAAATATTGGATGTGAAATACCTGAACGTATAAGATGTCTGCATGTTGATTTATATTTACGAATGATGTCCTTGTACCGATGGTAAAATTTAGTAAATGTTTTGACCGGTTTGTGATATCGAAAACCCTGGTGTAATAATTTTTCAGTAAAACAGAGATTTTTTTCGTTGAAATCAAATACGTTGTTACATACTCGAGCGAATCGAACAAGTTGAGATATATAAACACCATAAGATGGCGACAAGGGAACGTCACCATCTAAAAATGGATAATTAACAAAAGGAAATGAAAAATCACCTCTTTTATCATAAATTGTGGTATTAAGCTTCCCGTTAAAGATAAATATATCAAGATCCCGGAAAGGGCAGTGTTCATTGTTAGTATTAGCTTTATTTAAAGTTAGTTCGGCAGGATAAATCTCTTTAGTCTACATACTGAAGTCGTCATTATTGAGAGCCAATATATCATCTAAATATCTAAAAGTGTTATTAAATTTTTGAATCAGATGTCGAGTCAATGAATATTCCAATACTATAAGATTTATAAGCAAATAATTGATGCTGGAAAACAACTTCTCTCCCTTTTAACAGGTACGATTTTATAAGATATAAGCTGACTTTATCTGATGATCGAAGTCCTTTCAAACCTAATCCTACGTTTTTCTTTTGTTGTGCTGTACCACATTAAGGAGAGTGTTTATAGCTTGCAAAAAAGTTTGTCATTGTTACATTTCTTATGTGTCTGCACTTCAGTAGTTGTTTGAGGTTGCTGTGCGCTATATTTGTTTTTCGTTGGTTGTGTCATGATAAATCAGGCCGATGGTTTTCCGTTTGAATTATTTTTACACTTTTTTTGTCGGTTTTTATAGCCTAATATACAGCCTGTGATTTGTTCATTGTTGAAGTCAATTAGGAGACCTATAGTTGCTTACATTCACGTTACTATGTCTCTGATGGATGGTTATCTCATTTACAATCACACCACATCGTCTTATATTTTCATATTCAAAGCATTCAAAGATCTTGCCGTCACAGCTTAATCTGATCTAACTGTACATTTATGTTATCCTGGATTGTCCTACATTGTTTCTTAAAAGATCTTTTGGTGGCCTTGAGCTGTTTTCCGCTCTTTGATCGGGAAGTTGTCTCTTTGCCACATTCCCCGTTTCCATTCTTTATTCTATTTAAGAGTACTGTGGATTCATTAATATTCGTGGGATACCAATTTTCGTGGACTTCGTTGTTATAGGTGATCCACGAAATTAAATGTTAAACGAATTACAAATTTCCTATAGTCATGTATGCAGACTTTTGCAAAACCACGAAATCAAATATCTGTAAAAATGCAAGAATTCCTGAATCCACGAAAATTGGTACCCACGAAAATAAATGAATCCACAGTAACCCCTAGTTGCATTTGAAGTTGCTAAAGTAAAAAGATTCATCAAGTTGATATCATCGATACTATGTTAAGGTTTCTAAACTCGAATCATGTTATTTCTATTACACCGATATTCCAACGTTGGTAATTATAATGACTGTTATCCCGCACTGCGGCATTATGGTCATGGTGTTGTTTGATATCATCTTCTTTTTATCAGACACAATTGACAACATATCTTAACGTTTCAGAGGTAAGAGTCTTATTTCTCGTAAGCAGGTATTATAAAGGAAGCTAACCTTTTAATTGGCTTTCATTTGAAGCTTTAAAAAAAGGGGTAAACAGATGTTTTAGACGACATATTCTTTAAAAGGGGGATGCATTAAAACGAGAATGAACAATCGAATTGCCTGTAATGCTTGCATTTTCATGACCATTAAACGTTTTAAATCATATAGCATAGTACTTTTGATATGTCATTGACCATCAGCTATAACAAATATTATCAAAAATACCGAACTCCAAGGTAAATTCAAAAAGGGTTAGTCCATAAAAACTGACAAAATTAAACGCTCGACTGTTTCAACCAACGGAACGAAACGAAATCAACTGTCTTATTCCTTGCTTAGTATAAGCATTTTCCGTACAGCGTTTAAGTAGCTTCTATTTTGATAGCTAGCTACTTCCCACTTGTATGACTGCTTTTTATAGTTCCTTTGTATTGACAAAATATTCAGGCTTATGGATGGTAGAAACTAGATATCAAAATCTTCAAACATGACCTCTTTTTTCAGATCTTCCCGTTCACACAAACTTTTACAGTACGATGAAAGAGCGTCTTTTATGACCTGACGACACTGTTTCCAAGCTATTTTAGATGCAGGACGATATTTTTGTCCTTTTTAAAAAAAAAATGTTAACCCGTCGGTCTTGACCGATACTGAGGTCCCCCGTAATAACATAGCCATAGGGACCATATCTAAAATTCGACGATTCACAGTGTCAAATGAGAGGAGTATTATTTTCTACACTGACGTATAATTGAAAATTAAACTTCTGCTGATTTTTTTTGTATGTATACGAAATGATAATATTACCTTTTTCCGCAATATACTTTACATCCATTTTTTCCTAAATATTTTTAATTGTTTTTTCGTCATGTTTGTATGTATCTTTGGTCATACGGAAGTATATCGCAACATGGACGTTTATATTTACCCGAGGTTCTCGCCTGCTTTACTTTTAGTGGTGTTTGTGTTCGTCAAGTGTTCTGTTTTGTTGACTTTTGTTTGTCCGCTCATTTTCGTTTTTTACAAGGTGGTGTGTGATGGTCATTGCTTTTTATTAAGCTTATATAGTTGGTTGCCTCCCTCCCCATCTTATTACTCGTAAGCTGGTATAATTAAGGAAGTCAACCTTTTAATTGGCTTTCATGTGAAGCTTAAAAAAAACGCAGATCATTTCACTAAAATGAAATAAGACTTTCCATGGACAAAACTAAAAAGGATTTGCTGAATGTAGTGATAATGAGATTCCTTTGTAAGATATAAGGGTCACAATAAAAGAATACACTGACCTGGAAACGAAAAAAAAACCACACACACATCTTCAAAATATGATCATGCAATGTGGAATGAGAGGTTAATCCTCTAAAACATATTTGAGAAGTTGAGAACATCATCAATTCAACTTCATTATATTTGATTTGGACTTGCAACTGCTTTGATTCGAGCACCGCTGATTAGTCTCATATGGACGAATGGCACATCTTGTGTATTATAAGCGAGTCATCTTTGATGAGTAATTTAGCCATGTTGAAAACTTTCAATGTTCAGTTGGCTTGACTTGAGATTACAACAGACACAAGCATTTACCATATACATAGTTTAACAACATTGCAAAAGATCATCTAGTATTACAATTTAATACTTCATTTTAGGATGAATTTCTATGATAAGTTGCTGAAAATGTCAATCTCAGTATTGCAAAAGATGCAGTTTGAATCCCTGTATGACTTCGTTTTTCATGAAATGAATAAGATTATTTTAAAGCTTGGTTTGTTAGACTGAAATCCATGAGACAACAATTCAACTGTACTAGAACTGATTATTTTTACAATAAACAATTATATAGTTCCACCACAAAATGAAATAACAGAACGCACATAGAATAAATCAAATACTTCTTAACTCGATCATCTGGTAGAAAACAAATATGAGGTATCCAACAGCTTTAATTGCTGTTCTTCGTCTCAAAGTCACAGTGAGGCCTTCAACATGCAGCAAAAAACGACCTCTCACCTCACTGGTCTGAGTTGGGTTACAAATAGAAATCAACCATAATGTATTTCTCTTTTTTTAAAGTTTATTTCAACATTTTCGTTGATTTATATATAATATTAAAAACTGATGAAAAACAAATCATATATGAATAATTGTTTTGACAATGTAACAAATGAGGTATACTTAAAAGATACACCTGTACAATTAAAAGAATACACCTGTACAATTAAATGTATACACCTGTACAATTAAATGTATACACCTGTAAGTTAAGTGTATATCATTAGTCACAGTTGATTAATATTAACCTGTCTGATTAAACAACATATATAAATAGTAATAACAAAACAAAACGTGTAAGTTGCATTAATATCCAGTGTTGCTACATGCAATGCTGTGGTTGTATAAAATATATGGACAATGTTAACTTTAGATGAATTTAGCTGTTTTGTTTTGTATCGTTGCTCAATGAAGTTTTACGTCGTTTCTCAAAATTGTGTCGTCATTTGAAGATGTTAACAATACATTGCTTCACATCTGATTGCGAAATTTAACTTTAGTGGTTAATGGATAATGACACATATATAATTCTACCTTATACATGTTAGAGGCATTGTTTGTATTTCGGACAATTATGGTTGATTATTGAAACATTAAAAACAGTCAAATGAAGATTAAAATGTAAACAATATTTTAGGTGATATGTTGCAAAATTTGTAACAAGAGGTGATAACATTTTCTTAATGTGTCATGATTTTTGAAGATTACTTTCATGTTAATTCATATCTTTACTCAAATTTCCAAAATTCAATAGCAAAAGAATAAATATTAAAACTTTTTCTACGATAGATGAGCTTAACACTGTAATGCAAAATTTTTGGCAATTTACAAGGATACTCACATATTTGAGTAAGAATAATTCTACAATATTGAAATTGGTTATCCAATATTGAACAGATTGAAATAATTGTCTAAGATTCAACCAAAACTATAAAATATCGCTTCGTAACAACGTTCACCATTAAGAGTTATGTGACATGAGTTCTATATCAAACACGATTCTGTGATAAACAGGGGCATATCCAGGATTTTTTTTTTAAGTGGGGCGTAATTGGTGAAAAACAATATATATTGGACGATTCTTTACCACACAATTATATTTTTTCCGATTAAAAAGGTTGGGGGAACGCTGAATCTGTCAAGGATTAACAACGCTAAAAAAAAATAAAATAAGACACATCAATTGATAATGACCATTGTAAAAAAAAATGACAAACACTGTCACAATAACATTTCAACACACAATCACGAGGCTATCAATTTATATAGATTAAGTTTGATAATATTTTCTTATCAATTGATTTGAGCTTCATTTTGTTTTATTGCCGTACATGAATCAGTAATAAACACATCTGTTAGAATGTAAGATACGTTGATTCATGTAAAACAAACATTAAAATACACAATACAAATATTTGATGTAATAATCTGCAATAGAAGGAGAATTAAATCCATTTTAGCGGCATCAGCCGAAACAGTATACTTCATACATTACTTAAATATTATACTTATTAGACATACATTTAATGAATTTGGCGATGCAAGCTATTTTCCTTTGTACTTATTTTTAGCTCAGGTTTATTCTAGAGAATAGGGGTTATTTAAAATGTGAAACATTTCCGTTATGCATTACAAATCGCTTATATGTATGCTTGACTAGTCTAACCCTGAAGTTAGTTAATAATTATGTTGCTTCTGCATATGGCCTTTTAGTGAGAGAAGTGTATTTTATGCAATTATTGTATAATGATAGATAAGTCTGGGAACACAGTAATCAACTTTGATTTTCGTTGTCTACAAATATAGTCCCTACTGTGGACAGAGTATTAGTTGCATTTTTTTAGAACCCTTCCAAATTTTTTTCTTCATGTGTTATGCCTCAAATAGCAAGAAGAGGGAAAACATTACAAAGTAAAAATATTCATGAATTTTAGAGTAAAATAGTGATTTGGTCCAGCTGAAAAAGGTTAAAAATTAGTATGTCTGAAGCTGTCAAAAGAATTCAAGACCCCTTAACATAAAATTATCCATACTTTGAGTTAGAGCTGATACTACACTGTTAAAATATTATTGAGAAAGCGAATTTGGGATTTTTTTAATTTCCCTTTATCATGTTTATTGTCTAAAAGAAATGCACTACGAAATAACTGTGTTCTTGGGCCAGATGTCATTAAGAGAAAAACATCAAAATAAAAATATTAACAATGATCAGGAATATCTATTTACAAAATGATGTTACATTTACTAGTACAAGGGATTTGATTGGTGGTTAAGTAGTACAAAACTTAACAATGATTAAAAAGGTAATTATATAAAAAAAAACTAAATATCATCGATTCCATATCTAAAAAAGATTAATGCTTATCTGATAAAATGTATTATATTCACCAGCAAACATGCCAATAAAAGTTTTTTTGTGGTAATTTTTGTGCAAGTTCCAACAGAAAAAACGTTTAGATAACTGACAAAATTTAAGAATTCTTTTTTTAAAAAGACCAATTAAAGTAACGAATCAAGTCGTAAAAATAAATAATGTAATATTTGAAATTACAAAATATTCCAAAATTACCTTATGACATTTGCAAATTTTGGCTTCTCTTCTGTACAAGTAAATAAAAGATAAAATACTATTTACAAATGAATTAAGGAAGTGTAGCTGGGAAAACGAGAATTTGTTCAATTCTTCCCAATTACATAGCATGTGACATATATTTGGTTTTGATATATCCATCTATCACATATAATTGTAGACAATTTCATATCTAAGTGTAGCCTTTGCCTTTAATTTAATGAAGGCAGTGTTAACAAACAAGGTAAAAAACAGAATACATCATGAAAATTTACCATACGTACATGTGAAATAAGGTAATTCTAATAAACTCGAATAATGATAAACTACAAGTTTTTAAATTACTAGTATATAGATTAAAACATTAATGTATGTATCATTCATCCATTTACGACTTTTCTAATATCCATTTATGTTAAACATTCATATAAATATTGAGCAAAGGTAATAGGTACACTCTATATTTTCATCTACAGTATTATCAAATAGCAAATATGTTTTATAAGTGTTTGAAAAGAATTTGTACAATGTGTACATTTATGTCGAATTCAAATGAATATGCAAGATAAATGGTATATACATTATGTTGAAAAGTTTTTAGATTTTTCTTTGTACCGTATGATGATAATCATACTATACCGATCTATCATTCAAACAACAGATATTTCATTTAAGAAATTAATATTCAAATATTTTTGAAAAAAACATGACTTTATTCACATTTTCCAAATGTGATCAGCCAAACATGATATGTGTGACTGTTGGTCTCAGTACATTACAATCAACACTATTCGGTAAATAGATAAATAAACAATTTAGTTTTTCATAAAATATCTAGACCTATTACGAATTCCACCAAATCTACCCTTCTTATGGATTATTTGCACATGTGTTTGCTTTATAATCACTGACCTGTTTGTATTTTTACATTGCTGAATGTCGACCTTGGGTTACGGGCTTTTATCTATAATGTCATTATCACATGCATTTCAATTACCAATTGTGATGTTTCGCAGACTTATTAGTTATCAAAGGTCAAGGATATCTCAACCTTTTACAGTCCAGATTTCACCTCCATAACTATATATGTAGACTTGTCATTAAACGAAACAACAATTACACCAGGGGTTTATTTTGATTTATTTTCGTCCACAATGTTTTAATTACCGGAGAAGATCGGACATTATTGGAAACTCACACTGGACTAAATGTTTTTAAATATCACAGAATTTGTTCATCATTTCTCTCCTTCCATTGGTTCTTGTTTCTCTTGTTCTAATGCTTCCTTTCTCTCTTCATATTTTGCTGATGTACCATGATAACATTCATCTAGAAAATCTCCCATTGATTTATATAAATGCTCCTTCGTATGTCCACCATTTAAGCCATGTTGCTGATCTGTATAAAACTGTAATACGGAAAATATATTTAAGAATAAGTATCTTTAAAATACCTTCCTTAATATCCATTTATATTTTTAGCACAAGTTCACGAAAAAAAAAAGAATAAGTGGCTATAAGAAAACCACCAAATTCTAGAAATAAACTGTTAAGGACGGTTAAGATAAAGGCACTTTTCGGCAAACTAAATGACTTTAATTTTACTCTAGCTAATTTCAAAGAGCACCAACATATACTTGTACAATAACAACTGCTTTTTTTTCCTTTCAAACTTTCTTTGCAGCATGAATTTGATAACTTGGTCACACATAATAAAGCTACAATACGATCATTTCAGGATCTTAAATGGTTTAGTGGTGACCATTATGACTGTTTCATTAAGACCGAAGTTCTGTAATCAAGTTTTCGTTAGACTATATTTCATTCGAAGAAGTAACAATACACTCCTCTTTTCGCAATGTTAAGCTGTTCACAGAGTAAGACTTAACAAAGAATTTGAATTATTATCAACACATCGGAGTTTTCCTTTGAAATAGGAATTACTAGCTTTCTATCCTACCCTGCTTTTCAGTAATGGTTGTGTAGTTCACTATTCATTTTTTATATTGTAGTTTTTTTATTGCTAGTTATCGTTTCGTCTGTATTCTGTCTGCCATAATGTAGCCTGTCCTATAATGAATTATGGGTTGTAGATGCCTAAGGGTCTTTACCGATTAACTGATGCTACAATTAGAGACAGTGATTTACATGTTATGAAACCTTTACTAGATAAAATACCTGTTGAGTGAAGTAAACATCTTCCTCTTGTAAAGCTTTCATTAACTGAGCAGAATTCTGGAAGTGTACATTATCTGCAACAGAAATTATACAGGTCTATAAAATTTAGGAGATGTGGTATGATTGCCAATGAGGCAACTATCCACCAGAGTTTAAACTAAATGGATGTGAGCAATTATAGGCAACCTTACGGCCTTCAACAATGAGAAAATCTATGAAGTAAAAGTCATTCCTTGAGGAAAAGAGTAGGTATATTAACAGTTTGCATAGTTTCTCTGTTATCATTTCGCCATGCTTAATAGCTAAATGAAGTCAGTTTGTAAATTAACATACATTATCTTACATATAGAGATTGACAGTGATGGTCGGATGAGAACTAACGTTAATAAAGGCAACAGTAGTATACCGGTAATCAAAAGTCATTAATCGATTGAGAGAAAAAAAATCCGGGTTACAAACTAAAACCGAGGTAAACTATAAGAGGAAAACAAAGGAACAACAGGAACACTGAAGTGCAACAATACAAAACGCCAACATACATAGAATCGAACTATTTGATAACAACTGCCATATTCCTGACTTGGTACAAGACATTTTAAGAAAAATTGGTGGGTTGAACCTGGTTTTATGGCTGGCCAAACCTCCCGCTTATATGACAATGTTAAAATATATCGCTAAAATGACAACACTACGTGACAGAAATACAACACAAACACACGCAAGAACACTCATCACAGAGAAACGCACAAACAAATAATAAAACAGTCGACACAACATGCAAACCGCAGAACAACAACAAACATCTTCCATCATCGACAGACACCACAGGACATCACAAACAGTGACGCACTTACGTAACTAACATGCTGTCTCGAACTTCATACAATTATTTTCACAATACCAGTCCAAACAATTTTCATGACAATGATGTATCGAAAGGCAATTTTATAATTGTTTGGACTACAAACGATAAGACATAACACATTATCCAACCGAAACCATAACAGAAACATCAAAAATCAATACATGAATGTTGGATGTACAAAATATTGAGACACGTCGTATAGTAATGCAAATTCACATTCGGTATAACAGTCATATTCGGGAATAGGTCACGTTCGGTACTTCGAAGACAGACGACATTGTATGTTAAACCACAATATAAGACGTGGTAAAAATGTCATTAGTTAGTTTAGACACAGATACATCGTATAGATCAACCAATTCGTGATGGTGTCCAAAAAATTTACGGAGTGTCATTTTTAATCTTTCCTCCTCATAACTCTGTTTGAGCAGTTTCTGCGTAAGGAGTACACTCCTGTATATGAAGTCAGTATAGTGTGAACATGCACGAGCATAACGTATCAATTGAGATATGTAAACACCATACGACGGAGCAGAGGGTATGTTACTGCTGAGAATTGTTTTTTTTGATAATTGGGAAGTTGAAATCATCCCGTTTGTCATAGATTTTAGTGTGATGTCGTCCATCTGTGTCAATATTGAGGAAACGATCAAGGTATGAAGCAGTCCTTCTTGTATCAGTAGTATCCTTAATTTCAAGTTCACTATTAAAACTGAAAATATGCTTTCAATTTACCTATTGTGAACTTTCCATTTGTATATAGAGTAACATTACAGAAACACATGAGTTTGGAATTCATATATCTCAGTTAATGCGATATTTAACGAATTGTGTAATAATCGTTCTTATCTAGAGAGACTTTTCTGCCTACAACGAAGCTATGAAACCACTGATTTTAATGGTAAAGTGAATGGTATGTTTTAATATTTAATGGACATAAACATAATTTGGCTAACCGCTATGGATATCCCTTAGATATGACAAATGATATGGTCCGCTTGTCTTTGGCACAATTCCGGCTTCTTTTCTTCATTTTATGACTTCGTCAAATGCGAATGTGCACTTAATTAACATTAAAATTGGCAGTATCAATGGAACATACATTTCCTATACTTCTGAAGACCCTGTATTTACTCTGGTTGAAGTTATTTTTGTGTGTTTGTGTTTTGTATACTGTAGATTGTCTTCTTTCTCATGGTCATGGTATTGTTTGGCTCTCTTCAAATTCTCGTATTGAATGTCTTTCTCCTTAGAACTAGTATCTGTTATGTATTTTCTTAACTTTCTTGTAACATATTTGTGCTTTGAACCTTTTGTTTTCCACATGAATAAATTCTTCAGTTATTGACCTAAGAGCTGGATATTTGTAGGAATAAATTAATCCTCATATAGATTGTTAGTATTCACAAAAATGTGTTAATGTCATAATAAAAAACATACCATCTCCAGTGCCATGAACCAACATGAACATAACATCCTTAAAATTCCTGGCATACTGTAGTACAGAGCTTGTCTGCAAAAAAACACGACACAGATCTCAATTGGCATAAAGACCAAACCTTACATTTATTTACATTAGATATGTCATGACTTTTATAGAAAGAGTTTTTTTTGTTAACTTTACAGAAAATAAGTTGCAATGCATAATTTCAAGAGCTTTTGTGTTTTATTTCGTTACTGTATCATATGAATAGGAGAAAATCATTGTATGAAGTGTTTACTCATAAAATTTTCTTTCCTGGATAAAAAATGGAAAACCTATTCATGTTTTCTTAATATTTTGCAAAATCAAAGCAAACCTGTAAACTTTGTAGCGATATCCGGTTTGATTATCTCCACTTGATGTGAATTTGTATGTACGTCGTTAAATGACGGATATTTTAATTGAAAATTAATACCTATACGAATACTATAAACCAACTATTTTTCGCGATTTTCGCGAGTAAAAGAATAACCATAATCTAAATCGTGTGGAATATGTAACACTTGGGTCTTTCCTTTTAAAAACATGAATCGAAAATGAATCGCCGCGAAGTCTGATGAAAAGGGCTAAACGCGAAAAAAAAGTATCTGTGAAAAAACGTTGGTTTACAGTATATTCTGTACCTGTGTAACCGTAAGCTTTTATATTTCAAAAGTCTGTCAAAACAACCAGTTATCATCTTTGTAAAATGTTGTTTACTTTACCTCATATACATTCTAAACATACATATTGATTTGATTGTTACAGCAAATTTCCCTAGGGTTTCCAAATAATTTAATTGAGCTATTACGTAATGAATGAAAAACAACTTACACTGTATCCATTTGGATTTTCTCTTGGGGTGTTCATATATCTTTCTGTATACACTGAATCTATCAATTAAAAACAGACAAAATGACAAAAAGTAAATATTTCTGATTTTTTTATCTTTTAATTTACTGTAACGATTTTAAATATTGTACTGTTTTTCTTTGCGTGATAGATGACTATAATTTATTAACATTACAGTACGAGTTTGTGTCTTGATCTACTTTCTATGAAAACAAAATTGTTGTTGTGTATATTGCTTTTTCTATTCACCGACAAAGTACAGTCCTGATCTTGTTACAGGCCTGGTATCTTTTATGACTTTATTTTTCGAATGTACAGGAACTGAGCTAATCAATACTAATTATAAAGTACATCACAAAACTATCTCAAAGTCAAATAGTTTGTGTTAATCCACATTTCGCTCAGTCTTACATTATTACAATATTATCAAGTATGAATGTTGTGTAGTCTAAGCAAAGCATTATGTCAACACAGTTCTTATTATATACTTCGTAATATATGATAGGTAATTGTACACATCTGATATACGTCTAGGGAAGCTTGCTCACAAAGGTCCCTCCAAATGAAGATGCGTGGTATCTTAACTATACACACATAGAAAAACACAAAGTTCCTAAGCTATAATTTATTAATCCTAAACGGTCGAACTAAATAATGATAATGAATCAATGCATGCAACTATAAGTGAACTTTCCCATGACCCTTATCTTACTATTGAAACATGTGCAGACAACATTAATCAAATCTAACAGTTTCCGACTTTATCTGAATAACAATTTCACACTTAATTACATTTCCACATGTTAGCATCAATGTATATGTTTACAAATCATAAAGTCATAATGTTCAATTATCACATTCCTCCATCCTTAATCCGAACTGTCAATCAAATGTTTATTACACGAACTTTTAATCTGCACATGTACTTAACACTAGATAAAATAATCACATGAATTAACCCTGCTATAGAAAGTGAAAATAAACTAAATCTAAAAATACATGCAAGAAAGGTATAGGTAGACTGCTTTAACCTTGAATGGTTAACAGGGATTATTCTGCCCTTAACAATTAATCATTGACCCTATATAAAGTTCATTTGTATATAAATTCTCCATAACGATTTGGTGGTCTCGTCATTCTTCTCGGGCGCGAAGTAACATTTGGTGTTGGCGTATTTACGGTTTGCTTTGATGTTGATGGTTCTTGATTTTTCACGTCTGTGTTTATAGTGGTTGTGTCTGTACCTGACAAGATTTCCATATCCGGAATCTCGGACATATCTAATTGTTCTTCCACAACATTGTCATACTTATTTCTAATTTGATTTTGATGTCTTTTCACAATACGTCCATCATTTAATTTAACACAAAACGTTACAGGTCCATTTCGTTTGGTAATGGTTCCACTTATCCATTTTTCTGCGGTTCCACGACCTTGGTTCAAAATATAAATTTTATCTCCTATGTCAAACTCACGATTCTTTATACTTTTGTCATAACATTGTTTTTGAACTAGTTGTTTCTGTCTGACACGCTGTTGTAGGTCTGGATATGTTAAATCCAATAGAGATCGCGGTCGTCGTCCCCTTAACATTACTGACGGTCGTATTCCAGAAGTTGCATGAGGTGTTATTCGATATGCAAATAAAAATCTTGCTATTCTTGTCTCGATACTTCCTTCCCTCATTTTCTTTAAACCCTCCTTAAACGTTTGTACAGCACGTTCAGCCAAACCATTATAACTGGGCTGATACGGTGAGATTCTAATATGGCGTATTCCATTTTTCGTAGTGAAACTCTCGAATTCTTCACTTGTGAAAGGAGTCCCATTGTCACTAACAATTGCATCTGGAATTCCATGTGTCGCAAAGATCATGCACAATTTCTCAATTGTTGCTGCTGATGTTGCTGAATTCACCACTTGTACTTCCATGTACTTTGAATGTGCATCGACACATACCAGACACATTTTACCATGCAACGGACCAGCATAATCGATATGCACTCGAGACCATGGTTTTTCTGGCCATTCCCAGGGGTGCAACGGAGCTTCAGCTGGCACATGACGGTTCACCTGACATTCATGACAAGTTTTGACCTTGTTTTCTAATTCTGAATCCATTTTAGGCCACCACACGTAACTGTGCTAGCATTTTCATACGTGTGACTCCAGGGTGTCCTTCATGTAACTCCTGCATGATAGTCTCTTGTCCCGGTGTCGGAACCACAACACGATTTCCTCACAGTAAGCATCCGTCATGTAAGCTTGTTCTAATTTCCGTGAAAAGTACGGTCTAAGTTCATCATCTGCATTTGATGCTGGCCAACCTTGTAGTACATAGTTCATAACACGACTCAATATCGGATCTTTACGAGTCCACGATTTAATTTGTCGTGACATCACTGGTGTTAGATCCATGTGTTCCGTTAAAAGTATCATTTCGCCGGGCACTTCTGGTTCTGTTTTACAGTTTAACGGAAGTCTACTTAATCCATCTGCATTAGCATTATTCTTTACCTCTTTATACAAAATTGAATATTCATAAGCTGACAATGTCAATGCCCAACGTTGCAATCGAGCTGCTGCCATTACTGGTATCGGAGTAATTTCATTAAATAATCCAACTAATGGTTCATGATCCGTAAATATTTTAAACATCCAGTCATATAGATACTGATGAAACTTCCTTTAAAGCAAATATTATGGCTAATTTTTCTTTTTCTAGCACACTGTAATTTTTCTCAGCAGGTGCTAATGTTCTTGACTCATAACCTATCGGTCTATGAGTTCCATCGTCCATTCTGTGACTAAGTACTGCTCCAATTCTATATGCTGATGCATCATATGCCAGAATTAATTCCCTGCTGGGGTCATAATGCACTAAGACTTTTGATGATTGTAACATTAACTTTGCCTCGACAAACGCTTCCTCCCATTTCCACTTTGTTTGTTCTTGTATCAACTCGTGAAAGGGTGCCAGTTTTGTTGACAGATCAGGCAAAAATCTGTTATAGTAATTCAACATTCCAAGATATGACTTTAGTTCGGTCACAGTCTGTGGTACAGGAGCCTCGCTAATGGCTTGCACTTTAGCCTCAACTGGATAAATGCTCTTACTGTCAATTTTGTGTCCCAAATAAACAACTTCCGGTGCAAGAAATACAGTTTTTGGCTCAGCTAAAAGTCGCCTCTGTATTCAGTCGTCTTTTATGCCACACACAAGTTTGTCTCTTAACATATCCTCTAATGTCATATTAAAATTACAATGTTGCGCAATATTCCTCAATTCGGCTACATACGAACAAATCGACTCGTTTGGATTTCTATCTCTAGTATTAAATTTATACCTCTGTACAGTTTCTGATGGCTTAGGATTTTGGTGATCTCTAACTAACTTTACCAGTTCATCAAACGTTTTTTCTCTTAGTTTCTCTGGTACACATAAATTTCTCATTAGTTTATAAGTTTTCTTCCCACATGCACTTAGTAGTATTGCTCGTTTCTTCTCAACATTGTCTATATTGTTGGCAGTAAAATAGAATTCTAATCTTTCTGTGTACTGAATCCAGTCTTCAGAATGTTCATCAAATTCGTCTATTCTGCCGTAATTTGAAGGCATAACAAATGCTGCTGGTGGATCATCAGCCATTGTAAATGTTTATATCAATCCAATAAATATAATAGTTTATCCTCGTCGCCAAAATATGTGGTATCTTAACTATACACACATAGAAAAACACAAAGTTCCTAAGCTATAATTTATTAAACCTAAACGGTCGAACTACATAATAATAATGAATCAATGCATGCAACTTTAAGTGAACTTTCTCATGACCCTTATCTTACTATTGAAACATGTGCAGACAACATTAATCAAATCTAACGGTTTCCGACTTTATCTAAATAACAATTTCACACTTAATTACATTTCCAAATGTTAGCATCTATGGATATGTTTACAAATCATACAGTCATAATGTTCAATTATCACAAGATGAAAAGCAGCAACTTTCTTTTCATTTAAAATGCCGAGTTTATGAACTTACAGAATGACTTAAATTCTCGTAGAAATTTTGTTCCATTGTCTTTAGGATAAACCGCAAATTTTCGGCATGTACCCAATTTTTCCATTACTGCAATGTCCTGTATTTTGAACTTGTACTTGTGCTAAATGTTGCTTTCTTCAAACTTTCGGAATTGAATTTAATATTTTGTCTAGCGGAAAGTAATTGTTCATCAATATCAGCATGTGTTAATACAGTGTTTGTGATGTATGTCTGAATGGGGTCTATTTCAGGTGTTTCCGGAGTTTGTACCACTAAATATTTTTCGGCAAAACTGGAGTCAGAATCGGACCTTTTAATTGGCGAATATGTTTGGCCCAAAAAAAATTTCCTGAGGAAAGTGTCATTTTAAACGGATTTTTCTGAAATGTTGTTAAATGACAGAAATGTTGGGTTGAAGTAAAAATTTTCATCTTCACTGCCACTCTGACCTGATCTTAAATTCGTGAGAGTTCAAGGGAAATCCAATCCAACATAGTAAGTTCAGAATAAAACGCTTTATAGTAAGTTCAGAATAAAACGCAAGGGCATAAATAAATTGTTTTTCTTGTTTACCGTGGCCATGCCCAAAAACGAGGTGCCATGTGCTGATGCTGGATGTCAAATTTCTAGAATGTTATTTCAAATGTTTATGTACGAAAATCTTACTTCGTGTTCATACACTATTATAACGATGATGTATTAAAGTTATTAGGGTTCCTCCACCATCTAGGGAAGCTTGCTCACATCTTTCTTGGTAGGCTAAGAGGCACATGTAATAACAAACGTTTCTCATCAAATTTCTGTTCTAGTTCTAAAATCTAATTACAAAACAGTATCCGGAACATAATATACAAGAAACTATGCAAAGAACAATAACTCTATGAAAACCCACTGACCGTGCCAATCTATCTACATTCTATCGTACGTGTGATTTCATAATCCAACCAGTAAAATTACTTTTAGACACTCGCAGATCTATACATTTATAAATCTTTCTCCATTCACCTTACTCTACTTAATTTGAAATATTATCTTTTGGAAATGGTTTTAGTCAGGAATATGGCAGTTGTTTTCCATTCCTTCTGTTGGTTGTAATAGTCTAACGTTTAATTTTGTGAGGTTTATGGACTTCCACCTTCTTGAATTCACCTCGGAGTTCGGTATTTTTGTTAATACTTTTTACTTACCATAATATAACCAATCTGGACTTCCCATTCGTGAATTTACCTTGGAGTTCAGTATTTTTGTTAACACTTTTTACTTACCATAATATAACCAATCTGGACTTCCCATTCTTGAATTTACCTTGGAGTTCAGTATTCTTGTTAACACTTTTTACTTACCATAATATAACCAATCTGGACTTCCCATTCTTGAATTTACCTTAGAGTTCAGTATTTTTGTTAATACTTTTTACTTACCATAATATAACCAATCTGTTACTGGTGCCACTGATATTCCACACTCGAACAATTCTTTTGGTTGTCTTCCCAGTACATTTGCAGTTAAATAACCACCATATGACTGCCAGAAAAAATTAAAAAAATATATTTATAACTTGATAGTTCAAATAAGACCGTTTTGAATTGAAAAAGACTCAACTTTGTTTAAAACATATGAATTGGTTTTAATACTTTCTTCATATGAACACATTCTTTGTTCTACAGAAATTTAAATATTGATATGCAAAATGTTCCATTTCATCTTTTGATGCGACCATGATAAAGTCATGAACAAAAAACAGCTGACTGTACTTGTTTACTAACTTTTCTCCATTTAGTTTGTTAATAGGTTTTACAGAAAATATATTTCTTCAAAGTTACAACCACAAATTCAGATTAGTTTCAAGTTATATCAGAAATAAGATTCATCTTCATTTGATGTGTTTTACATAGGTAAAAACCCAAACTTGAACAACAAAAGCTTAGTAACAGGTATACATTCCAAATATGAAGTTCTTCCACTGAATGAGAAGAGGTTTTATGTATTTATTTTTAGCAATATAATTACGGAAAATGTTTTTTATGAACAAATGTATGTACTGTTGGCAATCACGGAGAGCAGTTATCCACGATTTTTCGATTTTTGTATATTTAAAGGACATGATTTGAGTTTTGTTTAATCTTTAATCTATGGTATATATAAATTATAGAATTTATTAAAATCTATAATCAACAATGAGATTACCCTATTGTAAATACTGTAACAATGAGATTACCCTATTTTAAATACTGTAACAATGAGATTAACCTATTCTAAATACTGTAACAATGAGATTAACCTATTCTAAATACTGTAACAATGAGATTACCCTATTCTAAATACTGTAACAATGAGATTACCCTATTCTAAATACTGTAACAATGAGATAACCTATTATAAATACTGTAACAATGAGATTACCCTATTGTAAATACTGTAACAATGAGGTTACCTTATTGTAAATACTGTAACAATGAGATTACCCTATTGTAAATACTGTAACAATGAGATTACCCTACTGTAAATACTGTACTTACCCATCCCCAAATTGACAGTTTACTTGATTCAACGTATGACAAACTATCAAAATATCTGAAAAAAGTACAAAAGGTTTGTCAAAGAGAGCGAAAGATACCAAAGGAACATTCAAACTCATAGGTAGAAAGTAAACTGACAATGCCATGGCTAAAAAAGAAAAAGACAAACAGACAAACAGACAAACAGCAGTTCACAAAACAACATAGAAAACCAAAGACTGAGCAACACGAACCCCACCAATAACTGTCAATTAATATAATGATCATGTAGGAGCAAATGCTCAATATAAAATAAAATACACAAGTAAAAAAAAAATGAAATTGAATATGGACTAAATGATTTATACTGGAATTAAAATGCTACTGTTAGTGCTTATAACATTGATTGTCAATGCTTGAATAAAAGGTTTGGTCGATCCCAAGTGCTACATGTATTTCATTTCTCTATTAACAAATACAACTGTTCTGATGTCACTTGAAAATTTCATACTATCACCGTGGCATTTTCCTCCGCTCTATATATCTGCTTTTCTTTTCATTACAAATAATTTTATCTTAAACTCAAAATTAATCTCGCTGCACTAATTATGAAAATGTTTGAACTTAAAAAACTAAAACCCAATAAATTACAAAATAAATAATCAGATTTGCATCATATTTAATCAATTTTCAAAGTACATTCAATCAAAATGTATCAATAGATTGTGATCTCTGTGAATGAATACATATATACTTACTGAGCAGCAGTTATAGTATCTTTAACTTCTATGGAACCAAGGTTTTTATACATTCTGTGTAAAAATCGATCTCCTCTTGCACCTGTCCCTCTAGCGTCTACGTAAGCTACTATGATATTTTTAGTACTAGCTAAATACGATGCCCATTTGATTTCAAATTTCTCTGTAACTAACTGAGAACCTGGACCTCCATACCTATAAGCAAAACCATATAATTGAAGACTTATGAGTTCCAGTATTTATTTTCTTGAATTATCTTTATGTAATTGTAGTTGATTTCAACATTATTGGCAAGCGAGTTGTCAAAAAAAAGAACAGACATTTTTGAAAATTGTAGATTCATAAATTTTCGTGATATTTGATTTCGTGGTTTTGCCAAAGTCTGCATACAAGCCTATACAAAATTTGTAGTTTATAACACATTTAAATTCGTAATTCGCCTGTACTCACAACATCCTGTGAAATTAGTATCACATGAATAATAATGAATTCACAGTTCACTTTCAAAACGCTTGCTTATTCGTGAATATATTAAGACATGATTAATTATAAAAATCTATCATTCTACTTTGAAATTCGGCAATTAGAGTCATTCAAATAAAAGTGTACTCTTTATGTTTATTCAATTCTTATATACCGTTAATAAGTTTATCTCTAATTTCTGTTTTACATTGAATACCTAAAAGAATATTGGATAACAAAACTACATCATTTGGTCTCTTGTGGAGAGTTGTCTCATTGGAAATCATACAACATTTTCTTATTTTTTATGCATAGTTACATTAAAACTTGAAAACTTGAAACATGCTTGGAGTTGTATTCAGAATTTTTTTTTCAAAGCAATAATCACACATAATCAACAGTTATCTCTACCATAGGTAGGTATAGCTAGCTATTAAACCAGGTTTAACCCACTATTATCTTCGGAAAATGTCTGTACCAAGTCAGGAATATGGCAGTTGTTTTCACTAGTTCCGTTAATTGATAGCTTTTATTTTGCCAGTTTCTATGGACTTCCCTTTTTTGGAATTCGCCTCGGAGTTCAGGTTTTTTTTATACTTTTTTATATGAGTAATCGGTTATGGAAGCAGTGACCATCTTGTGAGTAGATATCCTGTGACAGGTAATATAATGTGAATATGAATGTATATTCATCCATTACAGAATATTCATAGATAGTTATGGGGAAGGTGGCGTATTCAGAACACTAGGCTCGTCTTCCACTGATATTCAATATCATTTGCTATTCAAGGAAAATATTCTCTGTGAAAGTTCTTCTCTACTTTTAACCAATTAAATGTAAGTACTTTATATTTTGTATAAAACACCTGTTTTTTTTGTTGAAAACCGAATTTCGACCTCAACATATTTCTTTTTTAATTTTGTGTGTCGTTGTGTTGCTGTTGCATTGACATATACGAACATATCCCTTTTTCCTACATTATCTTCTTTTTAATATGTTGTTATACTATAGCAGACATAGATTTCAAACATACGTACACAGATAATAACAATGGGTATGTAATAATTTCATCTTTATTCCATACAGGGGGCACCAGCATCTTGGCGTGTATTTCTGAAAAAATAAAGCAGAAAGATTTAGAACCATTTTAACAAAAGTCCAACGCATAAGTAAAAGTTGTTCGTCGTGGAAATCCTATTATAAAGAATAAAAAGCGTAAATGACCGATTTCTTCTCATGAAAAAAGATAATTTATTTATATCTTTTTCTTCTAGTTAGATAAAATTATTTAGTTATACTTTTGTAAATGTAAAAGATTATGTCATAATATAATAACGACTTTTTCGCACAATTTATTATAAGTACCTTAAAACGCGCATATCAATGTTCAAACACTTCAAACAACCGCATTACTAACACATTCATAACACAAAAAAATGCTCCAGCAGGGCATGATGTAGACCGACTGAAATCAATCAAACGAAAATTAACAGTTTCCTTCCCCAATAGGATAACTGATGTGATGAGTCTGTGTCTTAACACACGATGGAGACGTTTTCGTTGTGTTAGAACCACAAGATACCAGAAAAGTGGTCTTGGATGTGAATTTACCGATTGCGTGAGAGTGTGCTATTACCAATTGTGAAAATATGACTAAGTTTGGATTCCCAGGGTGGGTAATTGTTAAAAAGGAGCAGATGCTGACTCTGTCCACGCACTCGTGTTCTTTTTCTGGAGTCTATGTAATTTCGTCAGTTGTTTTCACACAGTTTATTTTTTTCAAAATTCGTAATATTAAAACACCAGTAAGCTACCCTTGTCTCATATCAACTAAATGAATTTTAAATTGACACCGCCGTTTTTATTTGTATGAAACTGACGGGACTAAAAGATAATTTAGAGAAACATATTTAGTTTGCTAATCAATTTACAAACATATCGATCCCAATCAAATCAGTACCTTTCATCCGCTAAACTTTTGATAAATTAAGATCCTTTCGGTCTATTTTTAGATTAATCATATCATATGAGTATGTAAGAAATTTGAAACAACTAATTCTGAACCTAACAGTTTGCGTTGGCGATGTGTGCGTGTGAACCCGGGAATGCAAATGCCTTTTATTAAAAGTCAATGAAATAAATTACTTACTCTCACCATCCTCTGTCTCAATATCTACAAACTTAATTTTTGGAAAGGCTACTTTCTCATATTTTTTCCGTAATACTTGATTGTCCTCTAACATAATTGCTGTAATGAGAATAATAATGTTACAGATATCAGCCTTTTTAATTTAATTTTCTGAAACAGGACAAAAGTAACTTAAGAATTATATTATTCGCCTTCATTTCATCTTAGAGAACATAGAACTATATAGCTTTAAAACAAAAACTTAGTTTGAAAGTTACAAAATTCATTTAAAATACTGAAATACATTAGTGCTAAAACATAACTGTTAAAATACTATAAACTATGTTAAATCAACATGGCTCATATATTTAATTTCATACGTATAAAAGAAACCAAAAGAAATTAATTCTATGAAATACTTACATATATCAGACATTGTTGATTTTAGTATAAAATAAGGAATGTCTGGACCAAGGCATCCAAGAATATAATATTTTCCACTATTACTGAAAGAGGCTCTGACATATTGACATTTTTCATCAATGTCACATGAAAGACACTTTTTGGTTGGTTGGAATGATGAAGATGGACTGTCTGTAGAGATACTGCAAATATATCAAACATTTCGGATTAGATAGTCATTCTTATCTCCCTTTCCACAATTAACGCTTGCTTATCTCCCTTTCCACAAAGAATGTTTGGTTAATGAAAGCTTGATAAAAATCCAGCAACTTTTTTATTGTTACAAATAATACTGAATACTACCATACACCTGTTATCCTTAATTGAGTTTTGTTTTTAAATCGCTGAATTATGGCTATTGTATTATAAGTGCGAAAGCATTTTTCGGAAACAAAGTCTGACTGATTAAATTTTTATAGTAAAGTACAGAGATATAGAAGGCTTGTAAAAGAAAAGAAATGACATCAACTCGTATATTTAGCTGTCATACCTTTTCAAAGAAAAAAACTTCCCCTTAGATTTATTTATCAGAGATATTTCGGTTAAATATCTTATTTTCATTTGAATTATTTCACATTTCTCATTTTATAGCTGAATATACAGTATGATTTTTGCTTATTGATGAAGGATGAACTGAACGGTGACCTATAGTTGCTGCCATCAACTTCATTTCGTCTCTGGAGAATATTTGTCTCATTAGCAATTAAACCACATCTGCATATCTCATACCAATATAGATGATACTGTTGAACAAGAGCGCTTTAAATATCTTAATAAGCACAGCAGCAATGATATAATACTAAGTAGATGTTCTAGTTTGACTTGCAGCATGGACATACTAAAATTATAGTTGGAAATAAGAAAAGTTATAGTTTGACATACCTATACAAATGCCTTTTTCTTGGGTCTCCTGGAGTTGCTATGAAATACACCTCCCTTAACTCATCATTTACACCCACTATATCTGTCACTTCATATTGTCCATGAGTAAGAAATCTTCTTATCCCAATATTCCGAGACAACTGCTATAGAAAATCCTCAATATTAATTGGAAGCTAATAACTTGCCAAGCATTAGGTATGGATAGTAGCGTCCAAATATGATAATAGGTGAAAGAGGGGTGGAGGCTAAAAATGTTTTATGAAATTTCTTTTGGGAAGTTTTAATTCCAAAACGAAATTTTTTTGCGGAAGCTTTAATTCCAAAATGAAATTTGATAGGAAGAAAAAAGTTATTGGGGTAGTCATTTATAAGCATAAAAATTTGTAATTGTTATTTTTTATTATTAGGTCTTTCCACCTTTCCGTGGAAAGACCTATTGGTTTTCTTCTGATTATTTTTTTTTTCTTCCGCCTAATTTTTTTCTTGCGGTGTATTTTTGTTTCAAAAGATGTCGCTTAGTTTTTTGGTATATGATATGATACAGTCTATACGCTTTTGAAACTGACCCTGTTTAACCGAACACTTTTCTTTGTAAGAGTTATCTCCCCAAACACTGTTTTTCTTGTTATGAGATCTCCTCCGCAACCGTAAAAGAAAGCGACAAATTTATTTTTCAAAATTGCTCGTTATATACTCAGGATGTTAGGTTTTGTTTAGACCGAAGCTTGACGAAGACTCCATATGAGAGTTATTTCCCATTTTGTATTTGATATATATGAAATGTATTTGTAACTGGAAAACCATAAGTGACAGAGGCCTAGGGTCTTTTGATTTGAGGTCCTTGGTCCATAAAAATGAAAATGAGGTCAAGGTCATGTTAAAAATTTTGATTTTGGCTTGTTATCACTAATTTTCAGAAATCTTATAAGATATCGACAATTTTTTTACAGAATTGTTAGTTGTGACATGTCATAACACGTAAATTTGAGTTGAAAGGGTACGGAGACATTTAATGGGAGTTTTCTCCCTTATCATATTCAAAATTACACGTATGGTGATATAACTCATTCATCATATATAATTGAGAACTAGGGTATTTTGATTTGAAGCCCTTGTTTCATGACCTTGAAATTGGGGTCAAGGTCAAAGGTTGATTCGACGTTCTATATTTTGACCTTTGCTTTTACCTCATATATATATATACATGATAAAGCCATGGGACTTTTTGCATTAGGTTGCAAGCCATTTGACCTTGAAAAAGCCAACCGGAAGTGACCTTTTGTAAACCGGAAGTAGCTATTTATTGTACTAGTTAATGTAAAAGTATATAGAACTATATATTTTTGGAATCAGTGTCAAGTAAACTATCAAACAATACCGGAAGTGACATTTTTTAAAAAGGAAGTCAAAAATTATCTCCCTTATTTATCTTTTTTTGTATAGAAACCATATATTTTTGGAATAAGCGTACATTAAGCTGTCATTTGACGCTGGAATTGACACTTAAAACCTAATTTTAATATTTTTCATATCAAAATAGATCCTTACTGATGGAAAGACCTTCGATTGTTCTCTGAACAATTGGTTTTTAATTTTAATTGCATTTCTTTTTTTTAACCAATATGGTCAACAAAAAAGCTTTATGAATTGAGATGTCTATACAAGTTTATCAGTCTGGACGATATATTGGTGTAATGTAAGGTGTCTAAAAATAGAAAAAAAAATCTACACCATTTTTTTTTTATCACGCCTGGTAAACCATCAAATCTTAACCATATGGTTAAACGTTAAAAAAAGTTAACTGGCACTTCCTGTTGAGCTTTTCTGGTACAAAATATCAAAAATATAAAAAGGGTAGGTCGACTTTTCATCCATTTATTGTCAATCTGTAAATATTTTGTCAAATAGGAGAATGTCATGCCATATATAACTACATGAGAGTTTGTCTCGATCATTACTCGGACCAATATAATTTAAAATGACTTCGGAATGTCTTTTCTCCCGCAGGTGAGAGCGGCCAGCTCGGTGAGTTTTTGACAAAATGGCAGTAAGATCATCAATACGTAAGGTATATATCAGTATATAAGTGTTCTACTTAATCAATATAAACGTATAATAACAGTTTTTTCTATTTTTTATGTGTTATCAAGGAAACAATTTGCATTTATTTGACACAAAATATTGCAAAAAGGGAGATGAAAATGTTACAAATGTCCCCAAAATATGGTAAAATTTCAATCCATTTGAATGACATTTTTTCCTAAACCATTGACATTTATCTATCTAGACGTCAAACGCTGAAAAACCATATGCATTTAACGCTAAAAAACACGCTTCAACAATTTCTCAGTGGACCTAATGTCGGTAAGGATGTGACACAAAAACTGTCAACCAGAAAATTGCCTATAAAACATACGAAAATCAATTTTCATATAAAACCCCTTTGAAAGTTATATTGTTCTTCAGCTATTTAGGAATACATTTTATTGCACATCTACTTTCTTAATTGACAAATTGACCGGGGCCGAATTGCGAAACCAAACTCCTAACTGTGTATTGCCACCTAATATATACCTGCAGTGCCTGACTTTACATCTACAGCACTAGACCTTACATTTCTTGAGTGCTATACTTTTACTTCTCCAGCGCTTACTTAACATCTTCAGCTTTTCAGCGCTAGACTTTACATCTCGTTTTCTAGGCTTTAAAAACTCTTTAGTATCTATTAATGGACCAGCAGAAACTCGATCATACACAACTAATGTTAAAACCAGAAACAAGTTATAATGACAACCACTATACAGAGGGTGCACGAATTTTGACGGTCGAATCCGATTGACAATTAGCTTGTTGGAAGTTTTATTTGACAGAAGATCTCAACATTGTTCCAGAATATCACAACCGATACGAGACAATCTCAACCTGACATATTTTATAACATATTCAGCTTGATAAAATTATTATCTTGTCCTAAGAAATAGGAACAAAACTGTTATTATACGTTTATAATGACGGAAAGAAACACTTATATACTGATATATATGTTACGTATTGTTGAACTCACCGTCATTTGGCCAAAAAATTACTGAGCTGGCCCCTCTTACCTTCGGGAGAAAAGTCATTCCGATGTCACTTTAAATTACATTGGTCCGAGTAATGAACGAGACGAGCACTCATTTAGCTATCTATGGCATGACATTCTCCTGTTTAACAAACTATTTACAAATTGGTAATAAATTGATGAAAAGTCGACCTACCCTATCTATATTTTTGATATTTTGTACCAGAAAAGCTCAACAGGAAGTGCCAGTAAACTTTTTTCTCGCTTAACCATTTGGTTGAGTTTTGATGGTTTACCAGGCGTGTTTATGCTTTACATGTTTTTTCTTCTTTGAAATCGGTAGATTATGGCTATTTCATTTTAAATGCGGAACGTTGTCGGATAAAAAGTTGTTTGATAATATTTAGTCCTGCATAGGGATATAGAAGACTTTAAAGGAGAAAAAATAACAACATCTCATATATTAAGCTGTCATTCCCTTTTCAGAGAAAATAAGTATTATAATTTTAAGTTTGACCTCGCCTGGTATTTGAAATGTAGCATTCAGTGTCTGACTCGATAGGTTGAAGACGGAACAACACAATTAGTTCAATCTCTGCTAAGTTTTGTAAATTCTGTTGTTTTGCGTAGAAGAAACTAATATAATGTGTTGACCTAACAATCACAACAATACAGTATGCGACAACCAGATATCTTGGGTAAAAACTGACAAGTTTCAGTGATAAATGAACATGATAATCATATATATAGAGATACATTTTTTCTGTACTGAAATTTAAGAAATATCAACTAAACCTCAACAAATCTAAATTATTTTATCTATTTGATATGTAATATCTTCCTTTCTAATTTCTTTTTAGCATTTACAAGCTAAATGAGTAAGCAAAACTAAACAAAACTAATAACAAAAGACAGGTGCATTCATCTATAAGCTGTATGTTTAACAAGTTATTATAAGAACGTTTTTTGCATTAATCAGTTCTCGGAGATAAAAGGTTTGTAGGAGTGAGGTGAGGAAATAAAATATTCAGATGAACTCCAAACGAAGTTAGATCAGGTTCATCAAGAGAATAAACATCTGTGTGTATGTATCATTTGTCACAATGATGATGCAGTATCAAATTTCAAAACAAAGTTGTTGTCAATATAAAGGAATTTTATACAACTGTCATAAAAGTGAGAGGTTTAGCTACCTATAAAACCAGGTTTACTCCACCATTTTCTGCATAAGGAAATGCCTGTACCAAGTCAGGAATATGACAGTTGTTTTCCATTCGTTTGATGTGTTTGAGCTTTTGATTTTGATATTTGATAAGGGACTTTCCGTTTTGAATTGTCCTTGAAGTTCTGTATTTTTGTTATTTAACTTTTTTTTCAATCGGTAATAATAAAACATGGAAGATTGTGGCAGGGTTAAAACACCGCTAGTTTGCTTCTTAGACACCGTAACGGTCAACCAATTCATAAGCCTCCATTATAGACGATGTGGTTAAGTGATTAAAACAACAGTTAGTTAGTAGTAAATTAATGAATATGTGTGCTCATGCTGCATATCAATGTGATACAAGAAGAGGCTAGGTCGGATTAATCAAAACTGAAACGACTAAAAAAGACGCCATGTAGTTTAAGTTAGACAAGATTTTGACATTGACCGTTTTATCAACTTAACAGCAAGTTATTAAAACAGACGTTAAATAGAAAGAAATTACAGTAACAAAGTGTGGTAATTAGGCAAAAATAGATAGGAACAACTCCAACAGGTGAATTATGTAATGTGAAAATTATGAATTAAGTTATTAGTTATAAGGTGAATGAGTGTATATAAGTATTTGGGATGTCAATAGATAATACATTTGCCAATCCATATGAAACAACCATTGGAAACACAAAATCTACAGAACCACTGTAGCATGGTTTCATTTCTTTAAAATGGAATATTCATAGGAATAACTCATGCATCAATTCAGGGTTTAGTTTATTTCGTTTTTTTTTCTCTCACTTCATTAAGGCTTTATCAAAATGGAACTACATAGCTTTGTCAACCAAGATGTTAATGGTGTAGCTTTTGAAAGGATTTTCTATAGTACCCATGCGCAGGATGTTTGCACAACCCTTTGTATATAATTTCCGACGAAAACCTCACATCTTGAAACCGTACTTTGGTATCATAAACAAATATGTTTAACTGGCCACGAAAGGAACCAGACTGTCGTCTTTGTGAGCTCATTAATGGATCCCTGTTGTTTATCTATCTCGTTTGCCATGAAAATTAAATTTTATTTCTTGAATTCTTTAATCGTCGTCATATGATGTTTCACTGCCTGTAGATAAATCTCTTAACAAGAATTTTCAATTGATAAAGAAAAGAATATCAGTTAAATGTATCGATTTACATTGGCAGATAGTCAAATATAAAAAGGTGGTAAGACAACTTAAAAGAGACATTAAATGAGTGAATCTTTATTTGATAAGTGAAAAAATTCAGTTTAATGTACCGATTTGGATTGGCAAATGGTAAAAAAAAATGGGGGTTTAAACCACATGGCAAAAAGATGGTTAGACAAACTTAAAATGATTCAATGATTTTAAACATTCAATGAGGGAATCTTCATTTGAAAAGGGAAAAATTACAGTTAATGTATCGATTTGGATTGGCAAATGATCAAATGAAAAAGGGGGGTTTAAACCACATGGCAAAAAGATGGTTAGACAAACTTAAAATAGACGTTAAACGAAGGAATTGTTAAAAAGTGACTACACAACAAACCTTGCCGATATTACTCACGGGTAACTCCACCATGGCGACATGTTTAAAGTACCCGGCTTTCCCATCTTTATTTGGCATTAACGTTAAATAATCTTTTCCATTTGCTGTAAATAATGGTGGTTTATCCTAGAAACATAAACAATCATGATTCAAAGTCATTGAGAATATAATATAATGTTTACTGTCTTTTGCATATAAGTTGATAATTGACGTTTAAAAAGATTTTTAGTATTGTAACATAGATTAGTTATTTTTCTCCTTGGTCGCTTCAACAAACTAAGATTACATAGGAAACAGATTTCAACAGAATGGACAAAACATCGACTTTATATATATGCATGCGTTAGTGATTTCACCAAGTAAATATGCTATCGTTCCGGTAAGAAACAAATTGTGGATAATTTATGCAAGAGTAATGTAGTAATCATATATTATATAATGCAGAAATTCTTTTATAAAGAATGCTCTGATGACACTGTTGCGAAAAAAACCCTGATTCGACTTATAATTGTTTGTTGGTTTCATTTAGAAGCGACACCATAATTTCATCAAAATTTAGTATATAAATTGTACTTTAGATGCCAAAAATGATAGCTTTTATTAGAATTAAAGTATTTATTAAGGTGGAACCAAACACCTTGACTAAAATTAATTTGGCTCGTCTAATTTCCATAAAATTTTGACAAAATATTTACTTTGACCCTTTGAAAAAAATATAAAATTTCAAAAAATTTTAACCACACACTTTATCGGAACAATTTCATTGGATTTATAGCAGTTTGACAAACACTCATTTTGATCATTGAGAAGTTTAATATTTCCTTAACTATAGAACGTGATTAAAACGTTCAGCTGATTTTTACAGAGTTACCTCCCTGTAGTGTTATGTACCAACTTAATTGTGTGAAAAGGTATAATCAAAATACAATGATCACAAATGAAAATAAACCAAATCTACAAAACCTGTAAGTGGTTATGCTTTCGGGAAAATAATCATTAATGAATATTGCCTACCATTTCTATCCAGCCTCCTTGTACCTCTTCTTCAAAGTTCTGAAACATAGATTTAATAACTTTCATTTTAATCTGGCATCCTACTCAAATCCATTTATTTTTAAACAGATGAGACTTCTATTGTTATAGTAAGTACACTGTCTTCATATAAAATAATTGCATTGTTAAGTAATCATACGTTTTATATTTTTATATTTAAAAACAAAGAGTGTTAAAATGATACAGAAGTGTTGTTTATCTTTATATACCAGGATACCATTTTCTTATTACAATATAACATATGTATCTGTTGCAAGGTGTATCTAACAACTCGATATTACAAAATAATAAAGCAGTACCAGTCCCTTTTCTGTACATGATACTTACAAGACTACACTGCCCATTAACGGCAGTACACACTGTAAATAACGATCTATTTTGTGCTCTGTTGACCCATGTCACTAAAAAGTATGTATCATCTCGCCAGGATACAGTGGTGAAATAATGGTCCCTACAATGAAAAAAGTAAAGAAAATAAATTATCAGTTAATTGATATGCAGTGTATATTATCTCATGATACATTCGATGTCATATCGAGATGGTCAGAAGCTAAAATGTGAATCCTATAGGAAATATTGTTCTTTCTAGTTATAAAATTGCTACAGTAGATAAACTCATCATAGATACCAGGATTAAAATTTTGCACGCCAGACGCACATTTCGTCTACAAAAGACACTTCAGTGATGCTCGAATCAAAAAAAATTTAAAGAGCATTGGGAACCCAAAATTCAGAAAGGTCATGCCAAATACAGCTATGGTATTCTATTCCTTGGGTAGCAAATCCTTAGTATTTTGAAAAATTTTGTAAACAGTTAATTTATAATTATCATTTGTGTTCTTAAAATCGAAAATACTTCGAAATACTGGCTGTCTTTTTCCCATATGCGTAGACTAACATTGCACAATGTTTTGGAACTCTTGGTTTTCAATGCTCTTCATATTCGTAATTGATTTGGCCTTTCAACTAGTTTAGGTAAAATCTCATTTATGAACTTAATGTACACAACATAATATTTAAACATCATACTAAATTCTCATCCAACCACATTTCCGTAAACGTGTGGCATTTCACATAGTTTTGTGAAAAAAAACCATGTTCCATTGAAAACTTATGGAACAGTTAGCATTTTAAATAAATAACAGGACAGTAGTGTACATGTGTTCTGACTCTATAATTCATTTTAAAAATACATTTCGAAAGGAAGACCAGGTGCGTCGATTGAATAAAAAGTTTAACAAAAATACCGAACTCGAAGGTAAATTCAAAAAGGGGTAGTCCATAAAATCTGACAAAATCAAACGCTAGTCTCTATCAACCAACAGAACGAATGGAAAACAACTGTCACATTCCTGTCTTGGTACAGGCATTTTTCGAAGGTGGGTTAAACCTATCTTTATAGCTAGCTAAACCTCCCACTGACCGTTGTTAATAGTTTTGTTATATTGACAAAATTGGTTGAGCAACCCAAGCAGGTATAATAGGTTAATATGGCAATAATTGGGATCCAGCAGCCAAAACCGTGTACACATACATCACAGACAAATAACACAACTGACTAATCGTCTCTTGCTACATTTGCGTCACCCACCTTGTGATTCCATTTAGAATGTTAAAAATTACACGATTGAGAATAGGCCAAGATGGGTAAATAACCAGACCAGATAATTTTTCAATTTGCCTTAACTGGGGGCCAATGAACTTTTGAAATGCAGTTTAACCCCTAAAAATTCATTAAAAACTTCAATAGTTATCATCCATAGATATCTCGGATTCGAAAACATACATTCTTCCAGGAAATCATTGAAAGGATTTGCCGTGAAAGTTATTATCTAATGACTCCGATAACATTATCTTTGTAAATAGTTTACTTACACATTTAAAAACTCTTTAGGTGCATGTACATCACTGGTTTGACCTGTCTCTAAGTTATGAACTTTAAGTTTGAATGTTGGATTTGTCGCTCCGGGCTGAAACAAAACATACATTCTACAGCTGTGGCTATACAAATTATAACCTTATCAACCCCCATCCCCTTATGCAAAATTTAAAGAGTTGTATATGAAACAGAATACGTATTGACGACTAGTAATAAAAAATGATTGACAGTGTTTTATAAGTAATACAATGTACACATAAATTGTAACCTAAATCAAAACATCTTAAAACAGTCAGCATTGTATCTAAGTAACCCAAAGAGTGACAGCATCCGCCAATGACTATTTCAAAAACAATAAAACATACCAAGATCAATGCCGCGAGGTTAACATGGTTAATATCAACGAGTTAAAGAGTCAAGTTAAAGGTAGAGACTTTTCGGTTTAGGTTCGAATCCCTGTATTCTCTTTGTTGTTCCTATTCTTTAAATTTTCCGTTTTTCTTATTTTGTATGTTACTGTGGATATTTTTGTAATAATAGCGGGTTTTCCCGTTTATTTTTTTATTATTATTGGCTATTTCACATAATTGAAAAGACAATGATTATATTTAATTTGTCCATTTTTGTTTTATAAATATAGTATGTTCATTTGTTTTACTATATATTTTTACAAATGTTTATTCGCATATCCCTATGATTTAACATTGTTGTGCTGATATTTAGAGTAATTATGAATATAACTACTTTAAATGTATATATATATATTTATAATTACTCTAAATATCAGCACAACAATGTTAAATCTGCAAATTTGTGGAAGCAAATCTTTGTTCTTCCCTCGCCGGGATCATATATATATGGTTTATCCGTCGTAATGATAGCCAGTTATGGATTTGTTATAGTATATTTTGTAACTTGAATTTTAATGAAAAACATATTATCAAAAATAAAATAGGAGTACCTTTGGATAAGCTATTCTTTTCATTTCACCATATGCATTGGCTGGATCTCCATAATAAGGATATATGTACTTTCTCACTGCAGTGTCATTAAACTGAGCATATAAAATGTGTGTGGCTTCCTGAGACCACCATATTGCACTGTCAGACATAATTATCTCTTCTACAATGATATGTAAGAAAATCATGAGATGTCGTATGATTACAGTTGAGACAGATGAAGATGACAACGACCAGTTTAGCCTGTAGACGTTTTCTTCCCGAGGATATCACAAACCCAGTAGTAAGCTGTGCTTTTATCTTTAATATTTGATTTGTCATCTTGTGTAAAATTTTACTACTCATAAAGCTTTGGAAATACTCAGGGGTTTACCCCTATTAACCTATTATTTTAGTTGTATTTGGCAAAACCTTTCGAGTTATGAGTGCTCAATGTTCTTCAACTCTATTTGGTCTTTTTTTACTTTTTTTATTCGAGCGTTTCTGGTGAGTCTTTTGTAGACTAAACGCGCGTCTCGCGTATGAAATTTTAATCCTTGTATCTATGATGAGTTTATTCATACATTTAAAGATGGCCTTAGATAGATATGCCAAACTTTATATTTTTTGTTTGTAATGCCTTTCATCTTCTTCGGTTTGACATTCAGAATTAGATTGCCATTGATGAGTCTTGCAGAGGCGTATTCAGGCGGGGGCGTGGAGGGCGTGCCCCCCCCCCCCCCCCCCTAAAATTTGCAAAGCATGAGATGTCCTCAGGTTAATTAAGAATATTTCGATATTTTTACCTAAAAAAAAATTAAGTTTGCGCCCCCTTAACCTAAAACCCTGGATCCGCCCCTGTCTTGTAAATACAAAACCCGCATACGACGTATAAAACTATAAACCTAGTATATTTGATGAATTTTCAGCAACCGAGATGATAAGACAAGAACAAGACGGATAAGATTTTTTTTTTTTATAAAATTACACAAATAATTAGTTCAACTAAGAACTGTATCTTTGGCTAATTCAATCCAACAGAAAATAAGAGTAAAGGGTGTCTGTTGAAGATACATACTGACAATGAAATATTCGTTCTGTATGTAAAGGTCTGTAATTTGCAATATATAGATATATACATAAAATTGTGTTGTCTAGATGAAAGTTTGGGGGGGGGGGGGCAAAATTATAAGTTTGGCTAGTTTAAAAGGCAAAGATATAAAATTGATTTATAGAATTTTAGAAAGTCCAACACAAAGTTAGGATGCAATTGCAAAAAAATTCCAAAAACACTTTGACATAAAATTTGGTATTGATTATTTCATATGTACCTGCAAATGGACTTAATATTAAGTAAATGCCAAATTTGTGCCGAAAGGCGATTACTGCATGGTGTGAACTTTATAGTAAAATGACCGAAAGTTACAAAAATAGCATTCTTGAACAGTATATATTTGGTAATAACAATATAAATGGAAAGGGAAACCTTTGCTCTTCCTTTCCTTTACCAAGAGTCATATCGTCAAAATAAAAGATGTTTGGAATATCGAAACGGAAACCTTTTATAGTAATAAAATAATATTTGATAAACTAATAGATAAACGTATTTGGATATGTGAATACAATCTAATGAAAAAATTCAATCCCCACTGATTGGATTAACTGAGAAGCGGCGGCATTAGTAATCCAGCAAGTTTGAAGCACATACAAATCCAGAATTACAAAATATATGATATGGAAAAAGTAAAATCAGAAAAATACTTAACTCCGAGGAAAATTCAAAAAGGAAAAAATCTTTATCACCCCCAAAAAAATTCAATTAAAATATTACAAATAATACTATAGTACAAAATGTGAAAGTACATGGAATAGAACATTTAATACGGAACTAGACTGGCAATCAGTTTGGAAAAAGCTTCACAAGCTGCCTGTATCAAACACTGTTTTTTTCAATTCCAATGGAAAGGACTACAGAATATACAATACACAGAATTTAAATTGCACCAAATGCGAAAGTCTGATGGCCTATGTAACTTATATGGCATTTTTAGGAAACAAAAGAGCATCTATTCTATTATTGTTATAAAATTCAAAACATCATTGAAGAAATAAAAAGATTGCTATCTCTGTGCATAGATATAACGCTTAACTTTGATGTCTAAAACATTAATATTGCACACACATTTATTTCACAAATAACCTTTGAAAATTCGAAAAATTCTAAAGTGTTTGAAGCACGTGTCCTGTCGATGTCAATATCGTACAGCAATTTAAACATATTTTTATTACTATTTTATCGTTATAGTATGAAAACTATATTTCCTGTTCAATATAAATTACTCCTGTTATACACCAAAAAACAAAATGTTTCTTTTGATGAACACATTATAGACATATTATTCGCATAGTATCGATATACAATAAGCATTTAGATAAAATAATGGTTTCTTTAAAAATTAAATTAGCTAGTAGTCTTTGATATTAAAAACAATGACGGAATATTCAACCTGGGACCAAGAGACTGTATCATTCATGTTAGTCCCAGGTGCGACAAATTGTCATTTATTATATAAATAAATAAACTGTACAAACAAAAAACCAAAATAAAACAAAAAAATTAAAATGAACTTCACTTTGTAAAGGCATAGAAAAAAGTAAAGTAAAAAAAATACCGAATTCCAAGGAAAATTCAAAACGGAAAGTCCCTTATCAAATGACAAAATCAAAAGCTGAAAAACACCAAACGAATGTCACATTCCTGACATGGTAAAGGCATTTCCTTATGTAGATAATAGATTGAGTCATGCTATTGTTTTCGAAACTTCGATAAAACAAAAGGTTTTATAATTAGGAAGCTGAAGGGCAAAAAACAGGTTAAAAAATGTCCTGCTTGATCAGGGATAACATAAAAGGTGCACCATGTTTATAACATTAATAACAGTAAAATATGGAATTCAATAATTAGCAAGATAAACAAACTGTATTCACGTTTGGAAAACAAGTTACTAGTATTTAACTTACAGAGATAAAGTACTGATTATAAAACCCAATTCATACCTATTTTGGGATACGAGGTTGAGATGAGGGGTATACCTAATGAGTGTGAAAAAGAAATAATCTCACTTTTCTGGGATTTTGTTTCGAGCTCTATAATCAGCTTTGTCGACAGATCAGTTTAAACAAAATTGGCTGGCAAGCCTACAGGAATCACGAAAAGCATTCAATCACTATTTAGTTTAGGATACTTTATTTTAAAATATTACAAAAAATACTATAGTACAGAATGTGAAATTAAATGGAATAGAACATTTAATACGGAACTAGACTGGCAATCAGTTTGGAAAAAGCTTCACAAGCTTCCTGTATGAAACAATGCTTTTCAATTCCAATGGAAATGACTACAGAATATACAATACACAGAATTTAAATTGCACCAAATGCGAAAGTCTGATGACCTATGTAACTAATATGGCATTTTTAGAAATAAAAAGAGCATCTATTCTATTATTGTTATAAAATTCAAAACATCATTGAAGAAATAAAGATTGCAATCTCTGTGCAAAGATATAACTATAAACTTTGATCTACAAAACATTATTATTGCACACACATTTATTTCACAAATAACCCTTTGAAAATTCTAAAAATTCTAAATTGTTTGAAGCACGCGTTCTGTCGATGTCAATACCTAACAGCCATTTAACATATTTTATCGTTATAGTATGAAGACTATATTTCCTGTGCAATATAAATTACTCCTTTTAAACACCATGAAACAAAATGTTTCTCTTAATGAACACATTAAAGACATTTATTCGTATAGTATCGAGATACAATAAGCATCTAGATAAAATAATGGTTTCTTTAAAAATTAAATTAACTAGTAGTCTTTGATATTGAAAACAAAGAAAGAATATTCAACCTTGGACCAAGAGACTGTATCGTTCATGTTAGTCCCAGGTGCGACAAATTGTCATTTATTATATAAATAAATAAACTGTACAAACAAAAAACCAAAATAAAACAAAAAAATTAAAATGAACTTCACTTTGTAAAGGCATAGAAAAAAGTAAAGTAAAAAAAAATACCGAATTCCAAGGAAAATTCGAAACGGAAAGTCCCTTATCAAATGACAAAATCAAAAGCTGAAAAACACCAAACGAATGTCACATTCCTGACATGGTAAAGGCATTTCCTTATGTAGATAATAGACTGAGTCATGCTATTGTTTTCGAAACTTCGATAAAACAAAAGGTTTTATAATTAGGAAGCTGAAGGGCAAAAAACAGGTTAAAAAATGTCCTGCTTGATCAGGGATAACATAAAAGGTGCACCATGTTTATAACATTAATAACAGTAAAATATGGAATTCAATAATTAGCAAGATAAACAAACTGTATTCACGTTTGGAAAACAAGTTACTAGTATTTAACTTACAGAGATAAAGTACTGATTATAAAACCCAATTCATACCTATTTTGGGATACGAGGTTGGGATGAGGGGTATACCTAATGAGTGTGAAAAAGAAATAATCTCACTTTTCTGGGATTTTGTTTCGAGCTCCATAATCAGCTTTGTCGACAGATCAGTTTAAACAAAATTGGCTGGCAAGCCTACAGGAATCACGAAAAGCATTCAATCACTATTTAGTTTAGGATGCTTTATTTTAAAATATTACAAAAAATACTATAGCACAAAATGTGAAATTAAATGGAATAGAACATTTAATACGGAACTAGACTGGCAATCAGTTTGGAAAAGGCTTCACAAGCTTCCTGTATGAAACAATGCTTTTCAATTCCAATGGAAATGACTACAGAATATACAATACACAGAATTTAGATTGCACCAAATGCGAAAGTCTGATGACCTATGTAACTAATATGGCATTTTTAGAAAAAAAAAAGAGCATCTATTCTATTATTGTTATAAAATTCAAAACATCATTGAAGAAATAAAGATTGCAATCTCTGTGCAAAGATATAACTATAAACTTTGATCTACAAAACATTATTATTGCACACACATTTATTTCACAAATAACCCTTTGAAAATTCTAAAAATTCTAAATTGTTTGAAGCACGCGTTCTGTCGATGTCAATACCTAACAGCCATTTAACATATTTTATCGTTATAGTATGAAGACTATATTTCCTGTGCAATATAAATTACTCCTTTTAAACACCATGAAACAAAATGTTTCTCTTAATGAACACATTAAAGACATTTATTCGTATAGTATCGAGATACAATAAGCATCTAGATAAAATAATGGTTTCTTTAAAAATTAAATTAACTAGTAGTCTTTGATATTGAAAACAAAGAAAGAATATTCAACCTTGGACCAAGAGACTGTATCGTTCATGTTAGTCCCAGGTGCGACAAATTGTTATTTACTAAATAAATAAATAAACTGTGCAAAAAAAAAAAAAAAAATCTTTTTTTGTAAAGGCATAGAAAAAAGTAAAGTAACAAAAATAACGAACTCCAAGGAAAATTCTAAATGGAAAGTCCCTTATCAAATGGCAAAATCAAAAGCTCAAAAACACCAAACGAATGTCACATTCCTGACATGGTACAGGCATTTCCTTTTGTAGAGAATAGACTGAGTCATGTTATTGTTTTAGAAACTCCATTTTGTAGTGGCATTGTAAAATATGAGATATGTCATTGTTTTAGAAACTACATTTTGTAGTGGCATCGTATAGATTGAGTTTACTATTGTTTTAGAAACTTCACTTTATAATTGGCTAAAAAAAATAACAATGTTTACCCATAATGAATGGTATTTGTTTTTGCTATTTTCTTGAAAAGTATAATAAATTTAAAGAAAATGTTAGCGGAAATACATTAGCCATAAGATAACTTAATTGGAAATCAACTCTTTAACATTTTTGATTTTTGTCTCAGTGAAACCGAAAGTATATTGTTGCTAGGCACTTTTCTAATATAAATAAAACAGAGTTCCAATGAGTTCCCCCGCGTTGCACATAATTTATATTTCCAAGGGGCATAACACTTTTTAAAAAAAGTCGATCGTCCACCATTATAGAACTTGTCCGAGATATTGCTTATATTAACCTATAGTATAAGTTTTATAAATATCTGGCAAGAATTGTCCCCGTGAGAGAGCTAACGAGGCCATTTTCCATAAATTTAATATTTCCAAGTGGCATAACGCTTTTAAAAAAAAGTCGATCGGCCACCGTCATACAGCTTGTCAGAAATATTGCTGATATTAACCTATAGTATAATTTTTATAAAAATCTGGCAAGAATTGTGCCCGTGAGAGAGCTATCGAGGCCATTTTCCATAAATTTAAAATTTCCTAGGGGCATAACTCTATTAAAAAAAGTCGATCGGCCACCATGATAGAATTTGTCCGAGATATTGCTGATATTAACCTATAGTATAAGTTTTATAAAAATCTGTCTAGAATTGTACCCGTGAGAGCGCTAACGAGGCCATTTTCCATAAATTTAATATTTCCTAGGGCATAACTATTTTAAAAAAAGTCGATCGGCCACCATGATAGAACATGTCCGAGATATTGCTGATATTAACTTATAGTATCAGTTTTATAATAATCTGTCAAGAATTGTACCCGTGAGAGCGCTAACAAGACGGGACGGACACACGAACAGACGCTCGGTATTTCAATGTCCCCCTCAACGCGTTACGCGGGAGACAATAAAAGGTTGCATGGCAATTTTCCAATATAAATAAATTGTTGCACTATACACTACATATGAATGGTGGCTAAGGACTAGTGTGATAACATTTACTCCTGATCTTTTAGGTAGGGTTTATGTAATAATTAATACAGTCTTGAATCAAAACATATATGGTTACTAGATTGTTTTATATCAAGTAAGGGTGGTTGTTAATCATTTTTGACGAGACCTTGACTTCTTACTGTTGACCTGACTGTAAACAAAACAATGACTTTAATAATTCTGGACATTTCCCTCACGTATTGTTCGCTTCTATCTATTATCTTTTCTTACAAAATCCAATTAATATACTCAAAGTCAAAGGTCAAGGTCATGTATGAACTTTGGCCTTGGGTTAAATTGAATGTCATTTATTGCTCAATAGTTTTCACATCATAGTTAGTAAATATTAATCACTGTTTTTGGGTAATCTTAATAACATGGTCTAATTTCTGAAGAAAAAACAAAAATGACACATTTTGGTTTCCATAGCAACCATCCTAGTACCGCAAATCCCAAATATTTTGTTGTCAATTATTGACTTGAAACATTGATACTTTATATTTATTTCCACAACTTGAATGGAGGTGGATTCAAAACTGTATATTTTGTTCATGCTAAATGTGTATAATGCTTAATTTGCTCCTGCGGTTGTGACAATATTCAGCTAAAATATTTTTCTATATATGACATTGCTGCTTTGATTTTTAAGTATTATGTTTTTGAAAAATATTAACAAATATCATTTATTAAATTTGGTTTTGCTTCAGAATGCCTGCAAAGTAGTTGTTTTTTTATTGCTAAATTCCCCAAAATGTATGGAAAAACTCATTGACTTGGTTACCATGACAACCGTGACCTAGCATTATTCTTACTTTTTCACCTACTGATATGGTCAGGCTAAGTTTCAGGAATATCGGGGATTATGCGTGCCGACCCATTCGGTGATGGGAACTCTTTTTTTTACAGTGTTCTGTTTTTCTGTTCAAGTGGTTGTACCTCCGGAGCTCGTCTTCAATGGCGCTTATACCTCAGGAAACTAATATAGCTTGTTTCAAGAACAATGGGGTTGAGACGAACTGTTCTCAAAATCGTCATTGTCAGTAATGCATTACTAAGCTATAACTTAAATTACTACTTTTACTAATTTAGATTAATGCAACTACCCTGTAGGGTATTGCACCAGATTGTCATATTATATAAAATTGTTAAATTTAGTTTTCATGTTTTCAAACCTAAAGATATATTGAGGGACCATTATAACACGCTCTATTCATAAGAAAACAAATACGCGAGTAAATGTTCATTTGATAAGAAAAATTAGTCTCCTTTGATCTCTAATTAACTTGTTAAAATATATACCATATAGGACTTTTTATCTGATCAACGCAAAATGGTACGCGGTGTTCATTTTCTTTCATTCTTATATCGTGGTTATTAGCTACAAGAAATGTTCATCTGTGCGCTTTTATTCACGTAAACATTCCATCAGCGATTAGGACTTTAACTGATTTTAAATCTGTTCCAGTATTCACCAAATCGGGTTAAAACGTCACAACCCGATGACGTATGTCAACCAAAAATGTTACAAATATAAATAGGAAGATGTGGTATGAGTGCCAATGAGACAACTCTCCATCCAAGTCACAATGTGTAAAAAGTAAACATTTATAGGTCAAAGTACGGTTCAACACGGAGCCTTGGCTCACACCCAACAGCAAGCTATAAAGGGCCCAAAAATGACTAGTGTAAAACAATTCAAACAGTAAACCCAACGGTCTAATCTATATAAAAAACGAGAAACGAGAAACACTTAAGAATCACATCAACAAACGAGAACCACTGAACAACAGGTTCCTGACTTAGGTCAGGTGAAAACAAATGCAGCGGGTTTAAACGTTTTCGCAGGGGCCAATCTTCACCCTAACCTGAAAAAGTAGTGTAACATTACAACATAGGCTTGATTTTCTCCTTTATCAGAGGAAATATAAATTTAAAAATTTGTGAATGTGTTTATATGTTAAGATGAACATATTTAGATGATAGGTAAAATATCTCGAATTTTCCCTTTAAAACGGCCAAATAAAATACGAAGTTGAAGAGCATTGGGGACCAAAATTCCGAAATTCTTCTGCTAGATACAACTAAGGTCATCTGGATTATTTCATTTCTAATACAACTTTTTTTACATACTACTGTTGCGTTAAATATTGTTAAAAAGGCCAAAAAATGAATAATAAACAACATGCAGAATAAAATCTTTCAGGGTGGATTACTATCCTATTTTTTTGTACAATTTCAAGAATTTATCAAAGAATATTGGATAATAGAAGAGAGGCAAAAGATACCAAAGGGACATTCAAACTCATAAGTCGAAAATAAACTGACAACGCCATGGCTTAAAAAAGAAAAAAGACCAACAGAAAAACAAAGTACACAAAACACAACATAGAAAACTGAAGACTGAGCAACACGAACCCCACCAAAAACTGGGGGTGATCTCAGGTGCTCCGGAACGGTGAGCAGATCCTGTTCCACATGTGACACCCGTCGTGTTGCTCATGTTAGTACAAACCCGGTAATAAGTCTAATTCGGTAGGTCATATTCGTGAAAAGGGGACGGGATTGTAGTTACGACATTAGGAACATATCCGCTATCATCTGTGAAACGGATATTCCATAACGGTCAACCAACTCGTGATGGCGTCCGTAAAATTTACGAAGTGATGATCTCAACTTCCCCATTTGTTACTCTTGGTTTAATAGCTTCCTTGTGAGCAGCAACCCTCTATCAAGGAAATCATGATAGGAAATAAAAGCCCGGGAATATCGTATCAATTGGGAGATATATATGCAAGCGCAGCTGGATAGTGCTACATAAAAAACGGAAAGTTAACAATTGGAAAGCTGAAATCATCTCTTTTGTCGTTAAGTTTTGTTTTCAACCGACCCTCATTATAGAAGTTATTATGTACTTTTTGTTCCTATTAAGTTTAAAATGATTCATTTGTAATCAATATATACCTTCGTATACCCAATCAGGAATTCCATTAAATATTTCATCAGATATTCCATCAAATGTCACCTGTTTGGTTTTTTTAGTAATGATATCTCTGTGGTATATATTATTATGTTGCACAAAAACCTGAAACAAAAATTGTTTGCACATGACCTAAGAACATATGTACATATAATTCAATGTAAATGTAATTTTTATTTTTACATGTATCTAAAACAAAATCTGTAAGAATTTAATTGTTGAAGCACTTTGTGTTTGTGTAATAATTATAATACTCATTGTTATTGTTTCCTGGGAAACCGATTTCTTTTTTATCGTTGAATAAAATTAAATATTGGAGTTACCAAGTAATACTTCGATCCTAAAATCTTAAAGTAAATTCTATGCGACTGTCATACAAGTGAGAGGTTTAGCTAGCAATAAAACCAGGTTTAATCCACCATTTTCTACTTAAGGAAATGCCTGTACCAAGCCAGGAATATGACAGTTGTTTTCCATTTATTAGATGTGTTTGAACTTTTGATTTTGCCATTTTATAAAGGACTGTCCGGTTTGAATTTCCCTTGGAGTTCGGTATTTTTGTTATTTTACTTTTTACAGGTATAAAAATAAAGTCAAACGTCTACATAAAGGTTACTCTCCGGACAAGAGAAAACTGACCTAATAAGAGAGTTTACCTTTAAATTGAGGTAAAACAGGTAATACTATAGCGAGGCAAGATGAAGGTGACCTGACTGGATAGGGTTTTGCTTACTAAGATGACCTTTATAGGAGGTTTGACTGTCTACGATATTCACTATTAATGTTTAAGACTAATCAATTCTTCAAAGTGTCATTAAAATGGTTCAATTCTAAGTGTAAATAAATAATATTCTATTAAAGTATAAAGCATATTCCACCAAAAAATGTAAACATACTGCCCTTGGATGAAGGTGTAAGGGTAGATTAACACTGACACGAGGGAAATTATCACCCAAGACGAAGTCGCGGGTGTTACTTTTTTACCGAGTGGGTTTATAATCACACTAACACCTTCATCCAAACGCATTATGTTTTTATTATACTGAATGCCTTATGATTCAAGTGTGCCGTATGTTATTAGAAGGGCAATTTAATCTTATTAAAATTAAATATCCGCACTCGCACATTTTTTTTTATTTTTGGTTGTTGCACGCAGTGACCAAGCATAAAAAATTAAGCGAGTGCGGATATTCGATTTTAATTAGATTGAAGGACAATTGTAAAAAGATAAAGTCATAAATTAATATAGTTTACTAATAACAACAAAACGACGGAAATGATGTAGAAATAAGAATCGGTAAACCTCCGCCGGAGCGGGTGTTAATTTTTCCGGATCGGCAAACTTCGGGCTCAGCGGGTGCTATTTTTAGACATTATCACCGCTGCTAATATAATCACATGTTGCTATAGGTGGTCGGGGCTTATGAAAGGTAAGTGAAAATTAACAAATGCCGCGATTCCACACTGGTGATTTAATCTAACCAATTTCAAAATACAAGCCTGTGATATAAATTGATTGTGATTTGGATATATACAATGTCAAACATTTCAATTTGAACTTTTTGTATATATCCCCCGATTAAAGAGGTTTGATAATAATAATAACACCATGTGATATTTCTTCAAGATTTATACGACGTTTATTGGATCCTAGAGTATTGGACAAATATAACTTACAATAGCTGGTCCTTTTGGAGCCCATCCAATGTATTGAAAAACATCATCCTTATTTTGTCCTTCTATTGGTACATATGTCCTACAACGATTAAACATGATCATACTGACATGGTGTACAACATTGTAAACAACCTTAGTCAATTTATTGAACATTTATAACATTTTAGAATTGCATGACGGTTGAAGCATGTATAGCACTGTTGCATCAGTTTGAGATGCATACGATTTCGATTGTTGTCATTTATATCACAAGTAAATAAATACAAGTCTTGGACGGTTATTTTGATTTAAAAATCATCTAAAAAGTCTGAAACTGAAAACGTTAATTAGAGTTTCAGTAATTTTTAAGATAGTTTCTTGTAGTTCAAAGATTTTGCTTGCATACAATCCAATACTGTTCAATACCTTATTAGAAAATTCCCTTTTTTGTTGCTTTAATTGTACAGGTAAATATCATAATTATTTCCTTTTCATGTTAGTTTTATATCATCAAACATAAATAAGATGGGGATTATATATATAACCTCGTTTGTAGTTATAACTTCCGTTTTTTGGGGCGTCAACCAGCTTGAAAGTTCAATGTTACCTATATACACCTTTCTGTAATGAATTTCAAACCATGTCTAGGGCAAATGCTGCATTTTCTCCGTAATAATAAATGTACGGCTTAGTTTGACTTTGAAGACCAAAAGGTCAACAATTAAAGAAAAACAGTAGAAAAAGCTTCTTCAAATGATTGAATATTTCCTATATTTCATGGATTATTTGATTTTGTACATTCACCTCATATTCCTTCTTTCAAATGAAAATTATTATTTGTAAGGAAGCTCACTTTTACTAGCATGTCCAATAAAGACCCCCGATCTAGACCCCCACGGACTGTCCTTTAGTTGTATATTGATCTTACATAGTCAATCCATACATTCTCTATTATCATTTAGTGATCATTATGTTACATTGAATGCATCAATAATACACAGTATGATCTAGTATGGTACTATTGACTGGATTACAACACAATGTAGCTTTCATCGATTTGGCATTTTTCTTACACATAGTTGCAATTAGTTTACGCTAGGTTACAAATTTCTTACACTATTCATTTTCTTTTCTCTCGTCAATAAGAACGATGTTCTGAAGTAACTGATGATTTACCAATCCGGCTGCCATGTATTTTGTTAACTATTTGTCTCAGTCTTTCTTGTTTCAGTCTGTCGATCTGTCGCGTACATTTCGAGGAACGACCCCGGGCCCTTTCCCTTTAAACAACTGTAATTTTCCTGGACTTTATTACTGTCGGCTATATATCCTCCCTCTCCTCACTTTCTCATAGCATTGCTTGCTCCCTTTGGTACCCATTATTTTTCATGTTAGAAATACTTAAAACTGATTGCAGAACAAATATTAATAAGAAAAAAGCACGCAATTTCCCGCAGTAGTTGTATATCCAACGTCAGAGTTTATTAATATTATAGTTCGTTAAACCATACATTAACCATGTTAACTCACCCTGTGGACACGTTGTAAAGACTGTACTTTGAAAGCGTGGAATGTCTGTATATCTAGGAAAAAAATAGTACTTACAATACGATTATCTTTCAAACACGCTCACAAAATAAAGTTTGAATTTTATAAGGATAAATAGTTCACACGAACGGATTTTTTTGCAGTCAAAATATATCAATTGAATCAAGTAAAAAACTACATTACAGTAATATTGATTCTTTTAAACCTTCATCATCGAGTGAAAAAATGAAACATTTCAGCATGGATGCATTTTCCTTTGAATGCGCAAAGAATATTAAACAAAAATTAAAAATACCGTGCAAAAACTTTACTTAAAAGGAGTTTATGTACAACAACATTGAACCAATCTGATTAAAATACAAATAATGTGTCCATGCTTGGCTTTCAGGGATTTAAAAAAGCTGTGTTCTACTTTCTGTTCTGGTAATTGTTACATTAACCAATTTCTGTCTCCAAAGTTTTGAAGGTGTGTATCATTACAATAGAACAAGACAGAAAATCCCGAAAGGTCTTTAAACAGAAAGTAGACGGGGGCGTTGTCAGAACCTTGTAACCATGGTGTTGACACATGATTTGTATTTCAATCGCATTGATTTCAAACTTACATGTTCTGGTGCACCGGTTGTCAAAATGGCGTATTTCCGGTCAGGTGATAATTTATAAATTCCAGTGTCTAGTGTTTTCTGCAAAGATAATCATATTGTATTGTATTGTATTGTATTGTATTGTATTGTATTGTATTGTATTTCATTTCATTGGAAATGGATTGTATTGTAATGTATTTCATTTCATTGGAAATGGACCTAGGAAAACAATACATTATTATACAGTCTTCGCGATAAACTTTTAAATCTACAGGCCCGAAGCCCAATTTTTGGAAAATTTTAGTTAGATTCTGTTGGCCTGTAGAGATGATTTTTACAGGCCCGAAAGACATTTTACAAGCCTGGGCTGCTGGGCCTGTGGTTAAGCGTGCATACTGCATACTGGTGATGTTCAACTTAAATTAAATATTCAAAATGTTAATGGTATTTATAAACGTAGTGTATATACATGCTTTAAACAGTTACTATCTTACCTAATGTTGTAAATAAATACTTACGAAGACTGTACTTAAGATTAAGGTAACTGTTTCATTAGAGGTACAGTTGTATTCTACAACTGTGCCATCATCGTTTCTGTACACAAAAGCCTCGTCTCCTAAAAAATAGAAATAGTCTCATACATGACTGAAGGTCTGGACTTGGTATACGGATAATAGTATAAAATAGAATCGTGAAAAAATATCAAGATGCATTTGGTATACAGATAATAGTATAAAATAAAATCGTGAAAATAAAATATCAAGAGGCAATACATAATTGTAATGAAACATTCGAAAGAAAGACAAAAGACGAAGATATATGAGGGTAAAGGACGAAGATATATGAGGGTAAAGGACGAAGATATATGAGGGTAAAGGACGAAGATATATGAGGGTAAAGGACGAAGATATATGAGGGTAAAGGACGAAGATATATGAGGGTATAGGACGAAGATATATGAGGGTAAAGGACGAAGATATATGAGGGTAAAGGACGAAGATATATGAGGGTAAAGGACGAAGATATATGAGGGTAAAGGACGAAGATATATGAGGGTAAAGGACGAAGATATATGAGGGTATAGGACGAAGATATATGAGGGTAAAGGACGAAGATATATGAGGGTATAGGACGAAGATATATGAGGGTAAAGGACGAAGATATATGAGGGTAAAGGACGAAGATATATGAGGGTATAGGACGAAGATATATGAGGGTAAAGGACGAAGATATATGAGGGTAAAGGACGAAGATATATGAGGGTATAGGACGAAGATATATGAGGGTAAAGGACGAAGATATATGAGGGTATAGGACGAAGATATATGAGGGTAAAGGACGAAGATATATGAGGGTAAAGGACGGTGGTTTTCATTTCTGATCCTTAGATTGTTTATACCATTTTAACTATACTGTAATTTTGTTTCACATAATTTTGTATTCTTTATACTTTAACATCCCATTTTTCTCTATTCTTTCTTAGTTTTACCAATTTATCTCTATTCTTTTTTCCTAGTATTCCTTAGTCTGTAAAACCCATCCAAACTCTTATATACTACACAGAATCTAAAGATTAACCTATTTGAACCAACGACACAAAGGTGTGTAAGCTCATGTTCTCCGGAATGGTAAACGGTTTTTGATCCAATAGAAGGTATGTTACTTTATCGAAAAAGTACTGCATCCCTCTTACTTTAATAAAGATTGTTTTGTCCATCTGTCTGGTTCTTGTACGTAGAAGCATTTCTATTTTAAATTGTCTTACCGTCTACCCACGTGACATACAGCTCTTTCGGATGGAACGATTGGTTAAGGTAATTTTCTAACGATAGTTTTTCTCTGTTGTCCTCCTCTTTCGAACCTGTATAAAAAGTGTAGAATTTAAACCAAAAAAAAAATATATTTTGAAAGTATATACTTGTTTTATTCTAAATTTGTTTATATGATACTTGAATTAGTTGTATTGGAAATAAAATTATAATAGAAATGAAACGGTTTTGGAATTATAATCTTACTACAGATGCAATTAAAAGAAATATAATCTAAGCAATTAAAATGAGGTATAAAATAAAATGAACATTCAAACGTATTCATAAAAGTCATAAATTATTTCTAAGATTCAATATAAATTAATTGCAATTTAATATAAATCCAACATAATGTCCTTTCAAATTTCGTTATTCCTGCAAAAGCCTTTTGTATTTTGTTATTTTTAAAAAGCAGATAAATGTATAATCAATACAGCCTATTTGTATCGAAAGAAATGTATTGCTGATAATATTTCGAATGAAGCTTTCAGATATGTGCAAACCAATTATGAACAAAATTGACAACATAAAAGTGTATATCAATGTAAGTATTTATAACTTCAGAAAAGGATATGTTTAAAAATTTAAACACAGAAACTACTTTGAATTTTTGTCGCTAACTTTTTTCAGAACTTTTGTAACTTGGTCCGTTCCTAGTTATATGCAATCAGGTGTATATAAAAGTGTTCTATTTATCATTCGGTGGGTGAAGTTTTAAAATTGAAAAATCAAAATTAACTATGACGGGTAAATGTTCCAACAGAAAATCGAAATAAAATGAGCCCCGTTTTTAAAAAAAAATCATCTTTAAAAGGATTCTTTCCAGAAATTTTTCGTTCAAATTTGGATTTAAAAAAAACAATATGTTTTGTACAGAATACGAAAACAATTTGCTTTTTGATGCATGGGATTCAGTTGTAATGATTGTGCCATCAACAATTTGTTTATCATGATAGGTTTGATCTGAACCCACAGTTTAAATCTAAGAGTTAGGTGTCACTGCATGCTTCATGACTTATGTGTCACCCTCGATTGAATCTGCACAATTTTGTTATCAAAAGCTTCTATACAACCAACATTCATAGTGTACCATAAGATTTAATACCAACATTGTGTAAATAGCTTACACATATAATTTTAAAAAGATCTACAACACGCACCTGTTGAACAGTTTCAAGTTTGAAGAAGCGGTTAGAAAATTTGCCCCATTCAAAAGTTTATGTTTCATCATAGGCTTGATCTGCACATACGTGTCCACACGCATTAACATGGTAGTTTCACTACGACCTGCATTGCAATATATGAAGGTCTTGATAGGGGAGGGGTTTTGGGAAGGGGGTCCTTCATTTCTGCATTCTTTTAATTTTTAGGCCATTTTTCTTTCTTTTTATTCTTTAATTGTTTTGCCCATAATTCTCTATTCTTAATATTTCAGCACCCCATTATTCTCTATTCTTTATATTTCAGCACGCCATTATTCTCTATTCTTTATATTTCAGTACCCCATTATTCTCTATTCTTTATATTTCAGCACACATTATTCTCTATTCTTTATATTTCAGCACCCATTATTCTCTATTCTTTATATTTCAGCACCCCATTATTCTCTATTCTTTATATTTCAGCACCCCATAATTCTCTATTATTTATATTTCAGCACCCCACTATTCTCTATTCTTTATATTTCAGCACCCATTATTCTCTATTCTTTATATTTCAGCACCCATTATTCTCTATTCTTTATATTTCAGCACCCCATTATTCTCTATTCTTTATATTTCAGCACCCATTATTCTCTATTCTTTATATTTCAGCACCCATTATTCTCTATTCTTTATATTTCGGCACCCCATTATTCTGTATTTTCTTACTTTTTTTTGCCTACTTATTTCTATTATTTCTATTGTTTGTCATTTTTCTGCACTATGTGCCCACTATTCTGTAAACCCTTTTCAGACCCTCATATAGGACTAACTTGCACTGTTTGTGTCAATAACGTATAAATACAATTCCAAAGAGTCAGCAAAGAGTTGAAAGAGGACTTGTATCTTAGGGGATACATAGGGATGTCCAAATCAAAATCAAGGGCTTCGAATATAATGGGTCATATATGCACACTTTGTCTCGTTGACAATCATGCCGCATCTCCTTACTTTTTATATTTGAGTCTTTATAGATATGTACCAACGATAAATATATATATAAATAAGATGTGGTATGGTTGCTATATAGACAACCTCTAGAGACAAAATGACGTAAATATAGGTCACCGTATGGCCTTGAACAATGAGCAAAACCCATACCAAAAAGCAAGCTATAAAAGGCCCCGAAATGAAAAATGTAATTTAATCGAGAAAACCATAGGATTTAATTCAAACCTTTGTATATAAATGAGCCAATAAATAATTCCGTCACGCTGGCATGGAATCTCGATGGAATTTAAGTTTGTTGATATATTATGTATGTATATAGTATATAGATAAGAAGTTCCGTAGTATTAACTAAGCGTGCATCTATAATTTTATGTTTGTGCGAGAAAGCAGGTGGTTTCTATCTATCTGGCATACACTACTAATCTATGCTGCTAACATCTAAACGATGAAAATATGTACTAGTTTTTACTGATAATTGGCAAGCTATGCAATATCATAATTCAGTTGTTAAGTAATTGATATACATGGTATAAACCTTATTCCGAAATTAATATTACATGAGGCATTCTTTAATTAGATTAATTAATGACGACTGTCAAAGTATACATTATGGACGTTTAAAAGTACATGTTAAGAATATGTAGAACATATAATTATCTATTTTTGCAGATATGCCACACGTGACGCTTGAAAAATATACATTATTAAACCAAATTGTAAAGTAATTTATATAATTAAAAATTCCCCTTGCTATTAAATGAATCCGGCTCTAACGTAAAAACAATTCTTTTTCATCGAAATGTCATGGAATATAGACACTGCTTTTGATTTATCGATATACTGAGTTTGTTATTAACGTTATGACTGTCAATTATTCAATTGTTTTTCTTAGCTTTAACCAGGCCGTTGGTTTTCTCTTGAATTATTTCATTTTTGTTGTTATCCCTGGGCCTTTAGTAAGTTACAATACGATATGAGTTTTGCTCATTGTTGCGGAAGCCGTATTGCGACATGTAGTTATTTATTTTTTTGTCTTTTTTATCATCAAGTCTTTGGCTTGGCCTGCAGGAAAATAGACATATGAGCTCCGGTACCAAAGGCGCCCACTCTACTTCGAGAAAAGCGTGACGGTTCAAACATGTTTGAACTTCCATTCTATTTATACAAAAAAAAAACACTCAGATATGTTTTCTTTAATCTATTTTTGTTTGTTTGGTCAACACCTATATGCTGATAGACAGCCAAAAAATGAAAGTAAAAAAGCACAAAAATGTAGACATAGAAATTTTTTTTTTATATTATAGTCCACCGTTTATCCCTGGACAATGGAATATTGAAAACACAGGGCCACTTGTGTATACTTCCCTGTGATGTACAAGGTAAATAATATTCAGGTGTTTGCTAATAAATATATTTCATGTCCTTAATAAATGCACAAAAATGTCTTGCGTCTCTTATCTATTGCATCATTTTTATTCGCCTCTTTTGTTCTTAAAAAAAAACTCTCTTTATTTACCTTAACCTTGAACAATAACTCATAAAGTGCTGTCCTTAAAAAAAAGCACAAAAACGTCTCGTGTCTCTTATCTATTGCATCATTTTTATTCGCCTCGTTTGTTTTGTTCGTAAAAAAACTCTCTTGAATTACCTTAACCTTGATCGATAACTCATAAAGTGCATGTTGTAATATCAGGCGTATCAATGATACCAATGAGAACATGCAGATTGCAGTGTATTGTGCAATGTTCATAGAGATAAAAGACAGTATCATCTTAATAGTCATCATAGTAAATCGCAAGAAGTTGTGTTTTTTTTTATATCCTAATATGTTTTGTCGTTTTGGATAATTTTGTGGTAATTGATGACAGTTCTTTGATTGAAATTTCCTTCTCTTTTTTTTACTGAGGCGAAATAAGGGACATATTATATAGACACCGCATTTATGCGCCTGTCCCAAGTCAGGAGCCTCTGGCCTTTTTTAGTCTTGTATCATTTTTAATTTTAGTTTCTTGTGTATAATTTGGAGTTTAGTATGACGTCCATTATCACTGAACTAGTATACATATTTGTTTAGGGGCCAGCTGAAGGACGCCTCCGGGTGCGGGAGTTTTTCGCTGCATTGAAGACCCATTGGTGGCTTTCGGCTGTTGTCTGCTCTATGGTCGGGTTGTTGTCTCTTTGACACATTCCCCATTTCCATTCTCAATTTTACATGTCTATTATAAAAAACTGTATCTTGAACTCTAGATGGTTTTTGGTTTGTGTATTCTTGGGTTGCTTTGTCATTGGCGTACAAGCCACATCTCCTCTTGTTCAGAAGCAGGTGTAGAGAGAAAAAAAAAGCCTTTATAAAACTAATTAAGAATTCACTTCATATTTAAAGCATTTAAAATAATTCTAGTGGCCTATAGTTACTGGAAAAAGCGTGAATTTTACTTTGATAAAATTAAGAATGGAAATGGGGAGTGTGTCAAAGAGACAACAACTCGACCAAAGAGCAGAAAACAGACAACAGAAGAGCTCCTTTTATCCAGAAGCAGGCGTAGAAAGACGCCTTTATAAAAGAAATTACGAATTCACTTCTTGTTTAAAAAAATCGTAGTGGCCTAGTTTCTTGCAAAAGCGTGATAAAGCCGGTTTCAGCATAGATAGTTTATTATCTGATTTTATTCATCAATTTAAGAAATGCAAGTGAAGTTTAAATACTATCAAGTCGATACTGTCTGAATGATTCATGAAGCCATCAAGATGTGAATTGTCGAGACACTGAATTCACTTGATCACATCATCAGAATCATTAGCTTCAGAATACTGTTACTTTGATCATGGAAATATTACATTGATAACTCGATGCTTCTATTTTTTTTTTATAATACATGAAAAGAGGTTAATTTAGCGTGGTTTGGATCATGTAACTTTCTTCTCCATAATTTAGTTCCGTTTAAAAAAAATAACATCCATGAAGATGTCAATAGGGCAAAAAAAGAGAAGAAATAATCGGAAAAGGAACATTTTTAATATTACCTCTATTTTTTACTGTAACATTTCTCGCCTTTTTTCATCGAAAGTCACACACCTTTTGTATATATGACACTGAAAACATCCCTGTGACTGAAAGGTCAAAACGGATAATACTTTGGAAAAATAATGAAATCTCAGTAGTGGCATAATGCTTTCATCTTTGTTGTAAATATTGCGTACCAGACATGAGCAGTATGGAAAAAAATAGAATGCAGTGTCCAACTACTATGAATTAAGATGAGGGGTAGACATGGGGTCCTTGATTCCAGCTTTTCTACCCCAAACTCCAACGTTCCTCCCCCTAACCCCGCTTCCCTCCCCTTATCTCCAGACGAAAACGGTCAAATAATTTTTCCCAGGATATACCAATGTTTACTTCCCCTCTTCCCCTGGATCCCGCCCCTGAATCCCACTTCTTTCCCCCCTGACTCTCGCTTCCCACACCTCATTCCCATGTTCCCTTACCCTTGTCCACCCCTCTAAGATAGAAGTAAATGTATTTTATCTAAATGTCTCGAAAACCGCCGTGAACAGATGCGGATCAAAAGGGCGGGGTCTAGAGGTTCCGGATTCTAAATGGAAAGGGGCGGTTCCAGTCTAAATTTCCATATTTTTGTGATGACCAAACATCCCCGAAGGTCCCTGTGCGTCCAACAATAGGGAAACGACTGGTATGTACAAAAAAACTCAGATAAGACATCATCTGGTTCTCTTCCTTCCAATGTTGATTATTTAATGTTGAACACAGCGAGAAAATCCCGTACCCGGAGGCAGGCTTCAGCTGGCCCCTAAACAAATATGTGTACTAGTTCACAGAAAATGGACGTCACACTAAACTCCGAATACTTGTTCAATTGCATTAGAATATTCAATAAAATATACAAATATGCTATGAAGGAACTCAAAAAGCACTTTATTGAACAAAATCTCCCAACATATATATAGTTTAGCTATCACTGCTTGTTTTTTCTTCATTAACAAGGGCCTTTTTGTGCTCAGCTAAACACATAGCAAACAACAGCTTCATCTTTTCATAATAAAAGCAGCTTGTGCTCACATAACAAAAGCCATTTGTATCCAATCGGCATGATCAAGACAAAACACATCATTAACCTTTAGAAAGACTTGCCGACCTTAATTGATTTTACGCGAAGAACAAAAATTTGCTCTATAAAAAGAAAAATAATAAAAGAATTAATAAATTATGCGTGAAAAAGTAGGTGCACTTAACCTTTTACAAACAGGATTTGTTATCGAACAAATCTCTCTCACAAACGACATAAACCTTTCGTGGAGGTTAACAGGTATGTGTTTGCATTAGCTAAGCATTACAAAGGCTCTTACAATTCATCAGCCCAACACCAAAGGCGGTAGCAAAAGTCAACGTAAGGCTATGGCATTGCTCAATAAGCCATGATTTTCGGAAATCAAGGTACCTTTAATTGATTTTTAAACAGGTTAATGTCTAGTGAATCTAAATTATTTAAATTATGTGTCAACCGACGGTTAGTTATACACGTATTTTCTAACACTTAAATCTGTGTACACATCACTTGTGGTTCTTTGGTCGACTACTGTTGAGGGGACAATATGTTTATCTAAGCCAAGTCATTAGTTGGTTTTTGAGAGAGAAATAGATTCTTCTGAGCCAAGTAACGAAAAAATGAAAAATTGGGTGAGTAAATAGGTCATTTAAAGTTCATGTATTTCTTGTATGATATGTGTTTTTAAAAAAACCTACACTAAACTCTTACTAATATAATGAACCATTTCAAGACAGCTCGCTGTGAAATTTAATGATAAACGTTTTATTTACTCTCCCTGGCATTACACCTCAATAGAACCAACCATAATACAATTGGTTTTTTTTATTGTCGTTACACCTCAGTAGAACCAACCAAACAACCACAGAATTACTCCGCAGGTCATGTAAATTGTGTAAATGCCACCGTTCACGATGGGCAGACAACTCACGTCTATTGAAATTAAATATTCAATTTTCGGGGCATTTTTTAAAATGTTGAATATTAAAGAAAGATGCAAAATGTCGTCTATACCTAGTCTTTTTAGTAATTAATACTTTACCCAGTGCTCGGAGTACATAATTTGTACTCAAAACACCAAATCCAGTATTTTGATTGGTTGATTTCTGAGTCAGAGTACAATAATCGTACTCAAAAGTTTTATGACTGTAAGCCAAGGCCTCAGCAATCAACCAATCAAAATAATGGTGTTTCCGAGCACAATGTTTGTACTAAGAGCATTGGATAACGTTTTATGATCTAAAGCCAAGTCCGCAGAGTGGACACGTTAGAAGTTTGTCCTATCTATGCACATTCCCACTGTGGGTGGGTGGAAAAGACACAACCAACCAGACCTGAGTATATAAGTCGTGTTTATTTGTTAATATTCGACATATAAACAAGCTACAAGCTGTGTAAAGTACTCGCTATATGATAGCTTCTAATACCAAAGGTTTTGTTCATAAATGTTTACTTTCAGTATCTGGAAATATAAATAAATAGGAAAAACACGACATAATGTAAAATAATAATATTTTAAGGTATGATATAAAAATATTATCTATCTTCCTTAAATAAAAACGCAATAACGAAATCAAAATGCTGAAAAAGGGAATAATCAAAAATATAAACAGAAAGTTTACAGAAAAGAAATGTACGTCTTCGAAAAACTATTAATATTAAAAAGATTGATCAGAGAAAATTTTGACTTTTGATTTTAGGCTTAAAACTCAGGGTGTAGTGCAGGCAATGTTTTAATCCTTTTTCTCTTTAGTCCTTATGCATAAGCTTCCTATTCATTGTTGTGCATATTATCCATCATTTCCTACCAAAATATATCCCGTTCAAAGACACACCCGATTTATCGGTGTCCTGAACACTTTACACACCCTAATCGAACAAAACGGAGCTATATATATATTAGAAAGTCACTTATAAAAAGTAAGACTAACATACCTGGCGTTACTAGAATGATGGCTGTCACTATCAGAGCGCATACAATCAAAATAACTAACAAAGCTATAGCGATGCCTCTCCAGTTCCTTTGGTCTTGAGTGTGTCCAACAAGTTCCTGGAAAGGAAATAATATGTATATATAAATCAGGTCAGGTTTTCTTCATTCGTAGGTAATGATATAAAAATAAAAACCCAAGAAAATAAATCCGGAGGTATTTTAGTTAAATTTTCCTTTGAATAACGAGGGGGTACAATTTGGGTTTACCCACTCTTTTTTCTGTAGGTCCACTTGTCATTTCAAACATCTAATATTAAAAATGTGAATTTTGATATAAATTTAGCTTTGATTTCTAATTGAAATTCATTTATGGGTTTGACAGCATATTAGAAAGCAATTCCAAGTAAGAACAGAAAGAAAACCTCATTAGCAGTATTAAATGTTCAAACAGACCAAGAAGATAATGGCGAAAATGGCTTCTTTCCCTTGAAGATTTAGTTCATTTTTACTGTGTCTGTCAATAACCGAACCAAGAAAAACAAGGAAAAACAGGTTACAAAGACAGGTGCAGACACAAAATTAATGTGTATGCACTTGATGTGCACATTTCTAATTCTGTCAATACATAAATAAAGGAAGATATGATGTATGTCGATGGAACGTCTACTACAGAGTAGCATGTAGAATACAAAAAGCCTGAAAACTTACACATTTATAACTAGTTCATGATTTTAATGTTAACAATGTGCTGGTGCTAATAGTACCATACATTATGATTATACAAGTGAGAGGTTTAGCTAGCTATAAAACCAGGTTTAATCCACCATTTTCTACACGAGGAAATGCCTGTACCAAGTCAGGAATATAACAGTTGTTTTCCATTCGTTTGATGTGTTTGAGCTTTTGATTTTGCCATTTGATAAAGGACTTTCCGTTTTGAATTTCCTTTGGGGTTCGGTATTTTTGTTACTTTACTTGTATATATCAGTATGCATATATGTTAGCTAGACATTCATAGAAAACAGAAGATAGCTTTGTGTGAGGTTATCTATAATGCATAATAGTATTATTGTTGAAATGGAATATGTATAAACAAAATTTAAAGCGAATCATATAATCATAATACCGACATTTGTTTTACACAAATAATTCATTGTATGTTCTACATTGGTCGATGAAAGCGTACTACAAATGTATCTGTTACTGATAATCGACAAATCATTTCGATTTTTACAACATTTATTAAGGACAAACACTAGATTTTATATTGAAATATTAAGTGTAGGCTGACGTAGCAATTGTATTGCTAGAAATAACAATGCAGATAAGCAAATATAGATTGATGACAAAAATCTATGTCCGACGTCATAAGTATGCTGATGAACATGCATCTTTATAATGTTGGAATAGATTTGTCTGCAAATTATCCCTTTGATGTTATTTTTTCAGGTTTATATCAATAGGAAATCGATGTAAAACCTATTGTTAAGTGGAGGAACATATCAGCTCAAACAGTGCGGTATAGTGGTGGTTAACAAGATGCAAAGTTTTATTGATTCATGTTTGCTTAATGTCCAGTGGAAAGTATTTTATGAATGCATTACAACGGCTAAGAATGGATACAAAATGCCGAACTAGTTGTGTTTTAAACGAAACCAATTTTGATATTAATGATGACAACAGACACTTCAGAAATAAAAAAGTAACGAAACAGGTGCATATGCATGTAACCCTTTAATATATCAGTATTATAAATGATCACAAATACTCCCCTCAAAACAGGTATAGATAAACATAAGACAAAACAATAGTCTACAAAATACTATACCAAAAACTCAGAAATGAGCAACACGAACCCAACAATAAACCGACCGTGACCTCAGGTTTAAATTTCATGTTCGGTTAGATATCATCATTACTCTCTCCGTTGTCAAAGTAAAATTCAGAATTATTTGTATCTGTAAATCGTTTTAATGATAATCTATGAAGCCAGATTTTACGTAGATGAATTCGCCGTTACAGAATCTAATGTTATTGGTAATATTTTCAAAAGCGTACACCAAAACGCTGTGATATCCTAAACAGTAATGTGACGATTTGGTGTCCTTTAGATTCTGAAGCGGAGAATAATGGACATAATCATTGTTGAATTTATTGTTGAATAATGGACATAATCATTGTTGAATTTATTGTTGAATAATGGACATAATCATAGTTGAATTTATTGTTGAATAATGGACATAATCATTGTTGAATTTATTGTTGAATAATGGACATAATCATTGTTGATTTTATTGTTGAATAATGGACATAATCATTGTTGAATTTATTGTTGAATAATGGACATAATCATTGTTGAATTTATTGTTGAATAATGGACATAATCATTGTTGAATTTCACATCATGGTTACGAGAAGACGAAAATATACCACAATTACGTTGATCTTTTATTCTGATGATATACTTTCGATGATAGTTTTAAATGCAGTAAAACTAACGCCAATTGGATTCTGCCTATGCTCCCATACACATCATTGCATTACCTGTTTGTTATATGTTCTTGGTACAACAAGTATTTTAATTATTCATCCTCAATCAAAAAGCCAAACCATTAAATCATTGATTTTCCATTATCCAAAAGAAGTGTACATTTCAAAACGCAGCAGTTTTGATATGACTCTCTCTTATTTATAGAAGTTAGTTCAGTTCTAGTTGGTCTTTGGATACGAACATTAATTATGAAATAATCCTTATTGGTTTAACGTTGTCTCAAGCTTAACTTTCAAATCTATAAAGTAGGTTTTATGACATTTTCGATAGCAAGATATACTTTCCTTCCATTGAAACACAAAATGACCAATATTCCTTTTTTGTCCACATTTCCATATGTGGATTTAGGTTCAGATCAAGGCTTTTGAAAAGTGGGGTGGGGGAGATGACAAGCTCACGTTTGGAGTGATACTTGTAAAAAGTCTATGCATTTATCATATATGAGGATTTATAAGAAGAGCCGGGCCCCTCCCCTAAATTCGCCTCTGATATTGTACTGTATAGGACAAATATATTAATCCTTCTCTTTATATGGTAGTTAAAATATTCTTATATTAAGCTGCACTGAGACAACTAAATCACTTATAGGCCTTTCGGTAATTTAATCAAAGAAGAAAGAAAAACCAAAAGGAGCTTTCTGACTGACTAAAACAATGGTGACTGCAAACTATAGAACCATTACGGAGCAATAAATATACATTCCTATATGCAACTGAGAAATGCAAACTCTACAAGAATGAGTAAACAGAACAGTGCCACAGAGGAAAGACAAGAACGAGTAAACAGAACAGCACCACAAAGGAAAGACAAGAACGAGTAAACAGAACAGCGCCAAAGAGGAAAGACAAGAACGAGTAAACAGAACAGCGCCACAGAGGAAAGAAAAGAACGAGTAAACAGAACAGCGCAAAAGAGGAAAGAAAAGAACGAGTGAACAGAACAGCGCAAAAGAGGAAAGACAAGAACGGAAACAAAAAATTTGTACTTGATCTTAGTTTTGTGGTAATGAATATTGTGTATAGGTTTCATAATGTTTGGTTGGGGCAAACTTAAGATACAGAATGGAAACTTAAACTTTTGCAATCTTTCGATTTATAAAGGGGCATAAATCAATAATGGTTAAAGTGACACTACCCAAATTCAGCTTGATTTGTGTTTTATCAGTGGAAGTCAAAATTAAACATTGCATTGTATAAAGCATTGATTGTAGTTGATTCAACTATGATCATGGACAAAGGAAGATAACTCTAATTTTAAAAATTACTTGATATTTAGAAGAAAATAAAAATTTTGCAATTTTTACATTTATAAAGGGGCATGACTCTAGAACGGTTAAAGTGACGCCACCAAAATTCAAACTTGATCTGTGTTTTGTGGTAATAATCATTGTGTATAAGTTTCATAACATTTGGTTGAGGCAAACTTAAGTTAGATAACGGAAACTAAATATTTTGCAATTTTTCCATTTATAAAGGGGCATAACTCTAGAACGATTAAAAAGTGACGCCACCAAAATTCAAACTTGATCTGTGTTTTGTGGTAATAAGCATTGTGTACTTAGTATAAGTTTCATAACATTTGGTTGAGGCAAACTCAAGTTAGAGAACGGAAACCAATTTTGGGACTGACGTACGTACAGACGGACAAGGGTAAAACTTATTGCCCCCTACGCTACGGCGGGGGCATAAAAAAAATCATAGTTAACATTGGGTTTTACAAAAGCGGTAGAGTATGCTCGGGTTGTTAAACGTCTGTAAAATAATAATAATAGAATCTACAAAAATCTGCATTATCTACAGAACAATGCATCTAAAAGATGATATTACTTGTATATGTCTGACGAATTGGTGTCGTGAGTTTGACACAAACTTGACTGATCAGTGACTGATAGATGACTGCTGAATGATCGTTAAAATAGTAACGCCTAAGGTTGCAAGAACTTCTAAATGGCTTTTCGTTAGATCGTGATGAATAAAATTGAGAATAGAAATGGGGAATGTGTCAAAGAGACAACAACCCGACCAAAGAGCGTAGACATAAAATATGATTCATACCAACACATGATAAAAAGGCACAGTCAGTCCTCAAAAACAATATATTCTAAACGGTGAACCACCTTATTTTGAAACGCTTGTAAAATGAAAAATTTTGTTCTTTCGATTTTTAACTTTTAGCAAGGACGTATATCTAACATATACGTCCTTGCTGTTGGTATTTCTTAAAAATACATGTACCATAAACCAAGGATATTTCTGAGAACCGATATAACGGTAGTAAGATACTCTTTCATTGAACGTCTTTTGTTGAACTATCTAACTAATAAACAATAAACAAGTGCACAAACCTCATTTTCCAACTTTGCAAGTAATGTATCTGACAAAACCCTCTTTCTATTGTCATAGAATCTTTTCCCTCTTTTTGGAACATTAAAACTTTCCCCATCCGATTCCTCATTATTGGTATTGGCAGTGACTGCAAACATTCTACATGTTCATAGCCTCCAAACCCTATGCGCGTTCAGGTCGGAATAAATAATTCAAAACTCAGTAAAAATCATCCAGCGAAA